GGGGTAATCGAGCATGGGGATTCCGAATACAATATTGGTTTTCAGGATTATCGATTACTTTTATCGATTTTATCGATTTTTTTGCAAAGTTTGAGCTACGGGGCTGGGAGTTCGCACAGGGGGGTAATCGAGCATGGGGATTCCGAATACAATATTGATTTTCGGGATTATCGATTACTTTTATCGATTTTATCGATTTTTTTGCAAAGTTTGAGCTAGGGGGCTGGGAGTTGGCATAGGGGGGTAATCGAGCATGCTGATCATCCCCAAGGGGGTGATCAGCATGCTCGATTACACCCCTGTGCCAAATTCCATCCCCCTAGCTCAAATTTTGCAAAATCGATAAAATCGATAGAAGTAATGGATAATTCCAAAAACTAATATTGTATTCGTAATCTGCATGCTCGATTACCCCCCTGTGCAAACTCCCAGCCCCGCAGGTCAAACTTTACAAAAAAATCGATAAAATCGATAAAAGTAATGGACGATCCTGAAAACTAATATTGTGTTCGTAATCAGCATGCTCGGTTACCCCCTGTGCAAAATCCCAGCCTCGCATGTCAAAATTTACAAAAAATCGATAAAATCAATAAAAGTAACCGATAATTCTGAAAACTAATATTGTATTCGGAATCCCCATGCTCACTTCCCCCCTGTGCCAACTCCTAGCCCTGTAGGTGAACTCTGCGAAAAAATCGATAAAAATCGGTAAAATCGACATCGATCGATAACGAAAAGTGGACTGTGACACGCGCCGGGGCCCGAAGTGTATGTGTGCCAAGTTTGGTCCGGATACGGCGGAGCCGGGTAAGCCAGCTAGTTATATATAAAACTCAGACTTTGTATGTGTTTGTTTATTTGTTCGTTCGTTATGGAAACGAAACGCCAGCCAATGAACCAATTAGGCTGAAACTTTGCACACATATGTTTTCGACCCCGGAGGTGGTTTAGCGCTACTTTTTGCAGCGATTCGCTGGGAAATTCTATTGATTTATTGATTTGTTTACTTGCCTCTGTAAAACTTCAACATGCTCTAACCAATCATTTTGTAATAAACATGTAAGCAGGGTGGTGAAGCTCATTCTAACCTCAAGGTCGGCAGTAGGCGGCAGTTCGTCTCAACGCGCTTTTCGCAAAATTGAAAGTGTAAGTAGAACATTTTTGTCAAACTAATTTAGAGTCTTGGGTGAAACCGGGACCACCAACTAGTACGTAATAATCAAGAGATTATCAAAGATTTGTACATGCAAATGAGTTAGCGAAGAATAAAGAAAGCAGTGCTTTGAAGAAGAGGCTTGCCATGTTTCTTGTAGGAATGTGCATATCAGGACACTCCGTAACGAGATTATCACCATCAGCGCTTGCAAATTTCAATACACCTGGCATGTGCCATGATGCATGCCGCTGACTTTTATTCAAAAAACCTCTTGCGTTTATTTTATTTCGGGTAATATCATAGGAATGGACCCTCTTCCATCAGTAATGCTTTGGTCGCAGATTCTTTGTGGCTCGGCAAAATCATCTTGACAACATTACATGTTAATTGCAAGATCTTTATCCTCTGTGTTTTGGCATAAAGGTTCCCTTCTTTGTAGAGGATCATTCTTGAGAAAGGGATTCGTGGGCGCTATCTCGTGCAGAGCTTATTAAGACAAAGCTTGAAACAAGATTCAAGTGATCAATTAAAGCAGAATGATTCATAATCATAGGTGTTTTATGGTAGTAGCTAGCACTGTATTAGCAAAATCGGAAGAGACTCAAAGAGCCTTCTCAAGAAGCTACCTCTGAGCAGAGAGTCTTTGCATATTGGCCGAAATAATTGGTTGTTTTCTGGATGGTTTTCATAATGATACAATCTCTTCGTTTAGAAAGCAAAAAAAAGTTTTTTGCCGTCAGCTAACCATGATGAAGAAGTAGAAGATCTCGCTGAGAAGAAGGTCAGTCAAACTTTTGCAAGTTCTTCAAAGATTCACTACATATCTCTGGGTATTGCATTATTAAAATTTTTCGATGACTTTTTTAATGTATCCACAATGATATTTACCAATCAGTGGCGTACCGAGGGGGGAGGGCGGGGGGGGGGGGGGAGGGCGCCCCCCCCCGAGAATGGGTCGCGAAATTTTTGAAAGTTACTTAAATGTGTTGTAAAAATGTGCAAAGGACTTGTCTTTACTTGTAAATAATTAAAATAATTTTTAAAATTTTTTAAAAACACAAATTAGCCTTGTAAAAAAATTTTTTTCGGGGGCGTGGCTGACGCCACGCCCCCTTTTTCCAGATTTTAGGGGTTGGGGACCCGCAAAAATTTTGAGAAGCACCCCAAAATTTTTTTCGGAATGCGTGGCTAACGCCACGCACCTTCATTAGAAAAAATTTTTTGGCGCGCCCCCCCCCCCCCCCCGAGCCGAAATCCTGGGTACGCCACTGTTACCAATGCATATCTCCGCTTCGCAGGGGTTCGCACTAGCTATTCGTATGCCTTTCTCGTGCTCGCATGATAATGACTTTGAGAATCACCGCGCGATGCTGAACATCACAAATGAATTGCAACTGTTCATTTTTGAAGGATTTCCATGTAAAGTCGGTAATTTTGAGAAATAATACTTTTTATAAAGGAACAAATGCGAATTTGAACGGATTAATAAATTTATTTTATTTCGATAATCGTCATAAGAATATTAGTCACCTTGAGCTATATTCCCGTACAAGAATCTTTTCAATCCTTTACGTAAAACCTTGCCAAATGGACTATCTACGCGATCACCACTTTTTGGCTCGGTTTTCGCAGAAAAGCAAGCTTTTTTAGCACGTTTTTTTAGAATTGAATTCATTGGGCGCAGATGTATTTGTCAGGCCGAATAATGACCTTGCAAAAAGTCGAATTAGCGGCCCAATTTTGCATGCCAAAAGCTGCGTGGACCCGTTTATCGTTTTTTTGGAAGACTCGCTTATCAAACCGGCTCGCCTTGTGGGTGGAGGACCTACATGCTTGTGCGGTATGTTATGCAATTGTAGCGCGATAGCTTGGTTGCAGCTTCCCTCATAAATTGCGTGACAGACAGGCAAACACACACACAAAAAAGACAGAGCTTAGCGCTGTATTATAAGTCATGATAAGTACATTAGCTTTTGTGTCTTACTTCAAAAATTAAAGTTCATTTACAGTAGCTCATGAAATTTTCAGATACATCAATCAAAATTTCTTTATACAAATATAACAATGGCTTGTATGCGAGTGGTGCTTTTGCTGCCCTGCAGAAACCATAACAAAAGCGCAGGAGTTAGAGATAAATAGGTCTGCTACTACGTCCGAGCCAGCAATCTAGAGGCAAACAAGGGGAGTGGATAATTTGCACGTGCCAAAACGAGCGTTACTCTAGTTTTTGCAAAGGACAGATAATAAAAAATGCTTGTCGATTTTCGTTTCTTCAATCAAATTACATACAGCGTAAGTCGTGTGCCAAACGGTGCCAATCGTGCTGCATTGAACAAGTTCCACATAGTTCCATAGATGTACCACATTTAATGCGGTTCCGTGTGTGTTTGCGCGGTATGTGTGTTTGATGTGTGTATATGAATATGTGTGTTTGTGTGGTGTGTGTGGTGTGTGTAGTGTGTATCTATGTGTGTATGTGTGTGTTTGTGGTGTGTGCGGTGTGTGTATGGTGTGTATATGTGCGTATATGTGTGTATCTTTGTGTGTATATGTGTATTTGTGTGTGTTTGTGCGTGTGTTTGTGTTGGTGTGTGGTGTGTGTATGGTGTGTATATGTGTGTACATGTGTGTAAAGTGGCGTACCGAGGGGGGAGGGCGGGGAGGGGGGCGCCCCCCCCCCCGAGAATGGGTCGCGAAATTTTTGAAAGTTACTTACAAGAGTTATAAAAAATGTGCAAAAGACTTATTTATACTTGTAAGTAAATAATTTTTAAAAATGGCGTTAGCCACGCCCCCGAAAAAATTTCTGAAATTTCTGAAATTTCTGAAATTTCGAGGTCCTGAGCCCCCGAAAATTTCAGGAAGCATACCAAAAAATTTTTCGGAGTGTGTGGCTGACGCCACGCACCTTCATCGAAAAAAATATTTTGTCGCCCCCCCCCCCCCCCGAGCCGAAATCCTGGGTACGCCACTGCTGTGTGTGTGTGTGTGTGTGTGTGTGTGTGTGTGTGTGTGTGTGTGTGTGTGTGTGTGTGTGTGTGTGTGTGTGTGTGTGTGTGTGTGTGTGTGTGTGTGTGTGTGTGTGTGTGTGTGTGTGTGTGCTCCAGTGTTTTTTGAGCTTGATTTCTGCATAACGCATGCTACCAGCATTACGCCCATCATACACACAGTTGAAAGAATTCGATGAGCTCAATTCATATGTTTTTGGTCCGCGAAACTGAACCTGTTCTGAGATTTTTTAGCAAAGTTGAGAAATTGCTCTAAATGCAAATCTACAAGCTATGGGCCAAATTATAGCGCTGTGTTAGAAGGTCTGTTTTTATGAGGAGGTGAAGCCATAAGGAGATAGACCTCAAATTATTAGTTGTCAAGAATTATCCTAAGAACTGAGAAGATTCCTGCACAGGGCTGTAGCCGCAACATGATTTTCTTTTGCGATCCTTCATGATAACTGACAAAGAACACCTTTTGAGCCGAAGTGGCCATTCGAGATGGCCAATTCGAGTCGAGATTCGATGTATGATGCTGAATTCACTGATGAACGCTAAATTTAATACTGTCATTTTCATCCTTTGAAAAATCGACAAGCTTGCCATGTTGATAATCAGTTTGTATAGAAGCACTGCAGCACGTGCTATCAAGATAGAACAGGGGTCGGATGACTCTTTCCGCAGTCATGGTTTTTGCATTTTTGTGTATGAAGTTACCGTCTTCTTTAAAAGCGTTCCGCAGATAAGATTCATTGCTGTTAATGGCAACATAAATCTCATTTCGACTGATCACTTGACTAAAAGACATTCCTTGTGAATCATGAGCAAGCTACCGAGATATCAACATGAATTAGGGCGAGGAAGAATCTCACACACAAGTACATGGCGTGACGAATAGTGACTTCCGGCAACAGTGGGCTCAAAGCCTTATAGTTAACAAGGTAAAAAATCTTTGTTTTTCATCTAACCGTCTACCAGTATGTTGGATTTATAGCCGATTAAAGCAATTGCGAAGGAATTTGCACAAAACAAGCGAGTAAAGCCGACAGACTACACTACGGAAGCCTACGACAGAAATGATGCCAAAAATCGGTGAGAAGTTATATAACACATTTTGCGTAACTTATCATTCGGTATAACAGTACCTTACTATGAGCAAGAATTCTCATTTCCAACAAATTACTTTTTCGTGCAGAGTCGAGGTAAAGATATTTAAGGATAAGATCATCTTGATTAAGTAAAAGCGCTTGACAGATATTCAGTAGATATTATAGTTGGAACCGAATATTCGTATCCGAATAATTTATTCGAAATATTCGACTATTCGAATCGAATAGTCGAATATTCGAGAAAGTCCATTTATTCGATTGTTCGAATAGTCGAATAATTTATAAAGGTCTTTATTCGAATAATTCGTTCATTCGATGATTTCGAAAAATGACTTATTCGAATATTCGTTCATTCGAGGAGTTTTAAAAAACGGTTATTCGAATATTCGTTCATTCGAGTAGTTTGAAAAGATAGTTATTCGAATATTCGAATATTCGAAAATTGCGTTCAAATATTCGAATAATATTCGAACAATTATTCAAAATTAGTCGAATATTCGATCAAGTTCGGTTATTCAAGTATTCGTTCATTCGAATTGTGGAATGTGCCAATATTCGAATATTCGAATTCGAATAAAATGAAAATTGAAAGTCGAATAATATTTGTTCATTCGAAAAACTTTCGAAAATCAAATATTCGATATTCATTCGTTCGAAAAAATTTCGAAAATCAATTATTCGATATTCATTCCTTCGAAAAATTTTCAAAATTGATTATTCGATATTCGTTCATTCGGCGAAAATTCCTGTTCGTTACAACTATAGTAGATATATGCGCTAGCTGTTATAACATTTTTTATCGTGGTATCCTGCATTGCTAAATGTGGTGACCAGATAATACAGCTAGTGCAGAAAAAGACTTACAAGGGAAGCGTGTTTAGTCGAAGTGGCCTTTTCAGATCCTTTCCATACTGCTTTGAAGAGTATTGCACGGTGATTCCGAATCTGCCTTCTAATGCCAAGCCCCTATAGACGCCGAGTTATGACCGCTTTTTGGAACGAAAAATGAATGCAGAATTTAGTTAAAATCGATTGTTACAATTTTCTTTAGCGCTCAGGTAAAGCAATCTTGAGAATAAGCATATTAGACAAAATGTATCCATTGCGTAAACGGCCCTGATACTTGACACTGGACTATATGAGCAAAATGGGCATTTTAGTTCCAGTTTTGCGTTCAATTTTTTGACCTGAAACCCATAACTCTGCGTCCAGAGGCGCTTGGCAGGTTTGGAAGGCAAATTTGGAATTATCGCTTAAAGCTCTTCAAAGCAGTATGGGTCTCATCTGGAAAGGCCACTTTGACTAGATATGCTTTCCTTGTTAGCAGAAAATGGACAGAACTTAACTCAGCCATATGGATTAAACTTAATTCAGCCATACAAAACAATCTATCTATCATCGAACTCGCCTTGTAACGCTAATCTCAAATATACATTTATCACCTGTTGAACGATTATATGGAAGAAGTTATGAGCGTCTAAATGTGCGACTTGTCAAGTGTTCTGTAGCACAGATTTTAAAGAATACGTATCAAGAATACTTTTCTAAGTTTTTGGTAAATACGTTTCCCTTGTAATTTAGAATCCCCACAACCACTGTAAATATGCGCCATCGGGCGTCTTTTAGAGGCACCATCCACCCAAAATGTTGTCGATGAGATTTTGATGCCTAACAGTAGTGGAGCCCCCTACTGTATAATTATCCAACTCGCGCTGGCAAAGTTGCTTCCGAAGAGAAATTTGCTTCGAAAATCGCTCGGATGACAGATTCGCCACGTTGGCTCCTCCCCTTCGAGTAGGCGTGACGTTCTTCCCGCCCATCCGTGCGCGCCGCACCAATCACCGTTCCAAAGAAATCGCTCTCCGGGTTTTGAAAACGGGGTTTTTTTGTGGTTTTTACGGATTTCTGACATAAAATTCGGGAACATGCAGGTCGAAATTTTGGATGGACGGTGCCTTAACAAAATTTTCTCATATTTGAACGCTCATAACTCCTTCTATGTAGTCATGCAAATAATAAACATGAATTTGAAATCAGCTTAAGGCAGTCCAGCAGATACCTTGTTTTTTGGCTGAGTTAAGTTTTGGTCATTTTTGACGTATGTTGATGTTCTAGTAATTCTGATGCCGCACATGCAGGTATGGTAGAAGTTTACTGACCTAACGTTTAGAACAAATCGTCTTTGTCGGAGGTTTTCGGTCCATTAGAGAGTCAGTAGTCCACACTAGAGGCGTGGGACATCACAGTATTGTCCACGGACATCACCAAATGAGTGATGTCCGTCACACTCATCTAGTGCAGACTCTCAGATAATAGCCGAGGGAAGGGGGTCCGCAAACTCGCGCTCTTCTGCAGGCGGTCAGCAGAGTTTTGGGGCATGGGCAAACCTTCAGCAGGCTACACTTCCTTTCTCAGATAATCGCCGGGGGCAGGCGGTCCGCAAACTCGCGCTTTTCTGCAGGCGGTCAGCAGAATTTTGGGGCGTGGCCAAACCTTCAGCGGGCGGCACTTCCTTTACGGTCGCATATTCTGCAAGAGGGCAGCAATACAGCATTTTTTGCAAGCGCTCGGCAAATAATTTCTTTCAGCGAGCGTTGGCCAAACTTTCAGCAAGCGCTCGGACTCTTTTAAGGCATTTTCGGGCGTACATCGAGCGCAGGTAAGACTCTGTGTGGCAGAGGTGTCACCGTTGGTTTAATTACTCAAGTTTGAGGTACTTTCTCTCAGCGGAAAGTACCTGGGGGTTGCGCGGTCCTCCACAAAGGACCGTGCGGCCCCCGAAATTTTTGCATATTCTCGCGGAAAGTCCGCGAGAATGCGGCCACTGCGCCGCAGTTAATCCATAAAGAAAATGCGATTGTTCTTCAAGCATTCGTCTTTAATTTCGCCAACTTTCTTCCAAATTTCTGCAAGCGGGCGGCAAAAAATCAACGAACTATTTTTCCGGTGCGCGCTTGCTCAAAATTCGCATGGCCGCCTGCCCCCGGCGGTTATCTGAGTTTACTGTCGCATATTCTGCCAGCGGGCGGCAATACAACATTTTCTGCAAGCGCTCGGCAAATAATTTGTTTTAGCGAGCGCTGGCCAAACTTTCAGCAAGCGCCCAGACTCTTTTAACGCAGTTTTGGGCATACGTCGAGCAGACATAAGACTCTATGTGGCAAAGGTGTCGTCGATGGTTTAATTACCTGAGTTTGGGGTACCTTTTCAGCGGAAGGTACCCTAGGCAGTGCGGTCCTTCACAAGGGACCGTGCGGCCCCCAACAAATTTGCATATTCTCGTGGAAAGTCCGCGAGAATGCGGTCACTGCGCCGCAACTTATCCGTAGAAAGACCGCGATAGTTCTCCGAGCGTTCGTCTAAAATTTGGCCAAAATTATGTCAAATTTCTGCAAGCGGACCACAAGAAATCAGCGAACTATTTTTTCGGTGACCGCTTGCTCAAAATTCGCATGACCGCCTGTCCCCGGCGATTATCTGAGCTACTGACTCTCTGGTGGACTGAAGACTTCCGACGAAGAGAGTCGTTCGAAATTTAGGTCCATAAAGTCCCACTACACCAACCTCTGCGGCATAAGAAATACTAGAACATCAACTACGTCAAAGATGCCCAGGTTCCAAAACGAAAACACATGGAAACTTTTGGTGATTTTTTGTTGGTCCTTTATCAACTGTATCCTCTTTTAAAGGTACAACGATATTGTATGCATTGACCAGACTCGAGTGAAACTAAAAAATAGGCCTCCGTCCGAAGACTACATACATGCAAGCTGGATGATAATGCCTGATGGTCAAAAATACATATGCACCCAGGTAATTTAACTGTTATTACAGAATTATCATTGAGAACCGGATCAGGGCCCAGAAAAGATAATCTGGGATCAAGGTCAATTTCGTCTTTAAGGTGGGAAACAGAGGGAAATCGTTTTTGCAGGAATCGCGACGGAGCTCTGGGGAAAATTGGCAAACATGTCACGTTTTACGCGTTACGTTCTTTTCCCCAAGCGCGCAAATGTGAAATGCTGAATCCAAAAAAGACAAACACCAAATTTGGGCTATGTGTATACAATATTCCAATTTAACAAGAGAAGCGTGTTTAGTCGAAGTGGCTTTTCCAGATGAGACCCATACTGCTTTCATTGCGGTGACTCCAAATCTGCCTTCCAAACTGCCAAGCGCCTCTGGGCGCCGAGTTATGGGCGTTTTTCAGGTCAAGAAATTGAACGCAAAACTGATGCCAAATGGCTCAAATTTGCTCAAATTGTCTAACGTCAAGTATCAGAGATTAAAATGGATGCATTTTGTCTAATATATTAGGTTAAACCTAAAGTTCTGTCGCACCATTTTCAAAAATTCATAACTTCTTTCCCTCACAATGATTTTGCGCAGTTCAAATTTTGTTGGAAAGCGCAAAGCATGTAGTTTTTCAAAGTCTCCTGACGACTTTCCAACATGCTCAGGTTGCAGAGATAAAAATGAAAGAATGAAATCATCCAAAATTCGGAATTTTTAAGCAAGAATTCTAAAAATTCAGAAACAGTGCGATAAAATCCAGAAAAGCCATTATCTTAATTCTTCTTACATTTGATTACTATCTGAGTCAAGTTTGCGCTGATCGAGGTCTTCTTTCATAAGTTATGAATTTTTGAAAAAAAAATGCCAAAAAATCCATTTCTTAAGAATTCTTAGAAAATTGATTTTTCGGCATTATTTTTCAAAAAATCATAACTTTTGAAAGAAGGGCTCGATCAGCACAAACTTCATTTTCATTTCATTAGATACGCTCTAGGCGTTCCAAAACATTGACAAAAATGTGTTAATAATACATGAAACACAACAATAATGAACATTTCACCACATCTTTCAAGCCCAGACTAAGCTTATGAGAGAAAAGATTGTGTAGAAGCAGCTTGCGTAAACGCGTATAGATAACAATGCTTGCACTTGCGTGAACTCTATGGGGAAACACTCTGGAGAAGTACCCATGCCCCCTCGTTTGCCAGCAAGGAACGATCTTATTTTGATTTCATGATAGCAAACCGGAAGTTCGGCTGGCGGGTATACTGGCAGCCCCGCCCAACACAGTTTGCCGGGGAGGGTACAAAGCTCCAAGGAAATTTGAAATATATTGTAAATCGGACAAGCATCGGTCTATGTTGGTAAGCTGTATCAAACTAGTGCGTGGTAGTAGGTAGGCTGGGCTCGAAACTATGCGGTAAAAATCTGGGTTAGTAGGAGAACAAATCTAGCAAAGTAGATATAAACTGAGATTGTCGGACGCATGTGCTGATGGGAAGTCAGGAAAGCACGTGTGGCTGGCAAAGTGAGCATAAAACAATGAAGAGAAGCTCTACCTGCAAGGAAAGAAATCATTCAAGTTCAGCTTTTTGATTTCACGTTTGAATGATATACTATTTTTGCAGGCTAAAAGTTCTTTTGGTATTTTTTCCAGCATTCTCGATGCACGAACAAAGAAATCACTTTCTAATAAGGTGCAAAACTGATTTCGCCCACCGCTTGTTGGTAGATAAATAGAAAATCCGCTGGTCCTTCCATGACTAGGCTTGAATACCCAATACTTGGAAGGACTCAGTTTAGTTTCTCCCCTGTAAATCCTAAATGCAAGAACAAGATCGTGAATAACTCTACGATATGAGAGGTATTCAAGACCAAGTGTTTTCAAGCGTTCATCATAATGCGGAAGCAAATGTGGATATGATGAATTCGGAAAACAGCGATAAAAGAGAAGTTTGGTAAAGACTCTCTGAACACTCTCCAGGGTCTCTGTGTGCTTCTTAAGAGAGGGGCTCCAAACAGGACTTGCATATTCTAATAAAGGGATTACATATGCTTTGTACAATTTGACCAGTATTTTGACGTCATTGACTTTAATATTGCGAAAAATGGTGTATAAAGTTGACAAAGCTCGTGAGGTAACAGTTGAAACTTGCAGATCAGGTTTTAAGGTGTCGTCGAATACGACTCCCAAATCCTTAACTGATGTTTCGTTGGATAGGAAAACTCCAGCGTGTTCATAATTGGCATCGTTTATCGCACCAATATGAAATACGACACTTTTTTTGACGTTTATCGAGATATCCCAAATTGCGCACCATTCAATCATACGGTCGATGGCGCGTTGTAAAGCATCTTTGATAACTGCGCGATTGCTGTCATCATAAATCCCGTATATTTTTATGTCATCGGCGTACATTAGTACGTGAATATCAGGATGAGTTTTCAAAATTCTGGGCAAGTCGGCGGTATAGATAATGAAGAAAAGAGGTGAAAGAGCACCTCCCTGCGGAAGCCCACTTGTACATGGGAAATGCTCAGAGTGATCTCCACCAACACGGACAGTCATAAATCTAGAGTGAAGATAGGATTTGATCAATTCCAGTAGAACTCCTCTGATGCCATAATGCTCCAGCTTATATAACAATTTATCATGACTTATACGGTCGAAAGCTTTGGACAAATCGAAATAGATTACATCCACTTCTTTTTTATCAATTGAAGCTTTGATCCAGTCATGTCTGCAATCTATCAGTTGTGTCACAGTTGATGCTCCATTGACGAAACCATGTTGTTCGGAAGGTATGAGTTTGAATTTTTTAAACCGAGAAAAAAGTTTGTCGCGTAGAATTTTCTCAAAAATCTTGCATGGGATAGAATTTATGCTTATAGGCCTGAATTCGGTCACCGTCATGGGTTTAGGTACCTTTGGAATGGCCGTAACAATAGCTTCTTTCCAAATGTTAGGCACCTCCCCACATATGAGGCAAATATTGAAAATATGAGAGAGAGGTGTGGAAAATTCTTTTGCGCATCGCTTGAATACTATTTGCGGGATACCGTCAAAAGGTTCAAAAGTGGAATTTTTCAGCTTCTTGAGAAAACTTTCGACCATAAAAGGCGTGATAGTAGGAGCTGAGCATGTATGGCGCAGAGGAGTTTCAAGATTTATCTGAGTGGGAGTACTCAAGGAGAAGGTGCTGGCAAAAAACTTGGCTAATGCCTGTGCCTTGCTTCGATCCGTCAGGCAGCTTGCACCCAGCGCATCTTTCAAGGCTCCATGATTTTTGGTATACGTTATACGGCGAAAATAGGAAAAGAGGTTTTTGGAGTATTTGGACGAAGCTAGGCGTCTCTCGCGATTTGCGAGAAATTTTTTAATATGAAATGTGATATCTGAACAAACTTTCTTATACATCAGGCTGTTGTAACGAGATGTTCTGAACAGTCTTTCCTTTTGCAGGAGGAGTGACTGGACATGACTAGGGTATCGTAGGTATCCAATTTTCTGGACTTCGAATGGTACACATCTTGACATTATATCATAGACGATACAGCAGAATCTATAGTACACATCTGATGGGTCAATGTACATATCAAAACTTGCTTCCCAGTCAACACCACATAACTCGTTTTTGAAGGCTTCAAAATCTGTTTTTAAAAAATTTGGAAAAGGAATAGGCTCACTTTTTGGCATGACGAATTTGTAGTGAAACTCTATCATATTATGATCAGAACTGGCAAAGGGCGAGGTGACTGAGATATCTTCAATTGAGCGAGATTCAGCTAATACCAAGTCCAGAATGGTATCATCACGTGTGGGTCGCGTAACAAATTGATGGAGATCAAGATTCTCAAAAAGATCAAAAAATTTTGAGGCGTTACCATGGCTTGAATCTCGACTGTGGAATGGGAGGTTGAAATCACCCACAATTAAGACGTCAGGGGTACACGTAGTCAAAGTAGAAAGCAAATCAACGAGAATTTCGTCTGAATCGGAGAGAGAGTTAGGAGGGCGGTAGACACATATCATGCGCACCTTCACTGCTACACAAGGCTGATATAAATCTATAGCAATGAGCTCGAATTTGCTGTGTATATCAACTTCGATTTTTTCACATAGTAGAGTCGTTCTTACGAGAATGCAAACACCGCCTCCTTTTTTCTTCTTTCTATCACAGCGAAAAATAAGATATGGCAAATCAGCGATAATCTCTGCATCACCTACTTTAGGCGACAGCCAAGTTTCTGTGATGAAGAGAATGTCCGGCAATGTCGTAATCAGAAAATGGTGCAAGTGCAAGAATTTATTCACCAAAGATCTAGCATTAAAAAGAAAACATTCAAGAAAGTTGCCGTGCGACTCAGCTAGTTTCCCTGTTGCGACAGGGAAGAGACATGACGAGGATATGATGAAGGTTGAGAAGGAGGCCTGTTAGCATGCGAGAGTGTGTTGGCAGGAACCAACTCACCTTTATATGCAACCAGCCTTTCCTCGTAAGCCCTACTCCGATTCATATCCCTTGCTTTCTCCCTCAACTCACGCTCGAGCTCTCTCTCCCGAGCCGTCATGCTTCCTCTGATATAAACTCCTCTGAAATTAGAGGAGTCTCGAAGCATTCTGGCTCGGGAGAGAGCCGTTACCCAGTGACTCCTTGTGGGTAACTCTACCTTCACTAAGCGGGGTCTTCCAGGCACTCTCCTGCCCATACGAAAGACTTTAACCGGTCTGCACTCAACGTCAAGTGCATCTAAGATACCTCGCACTTTACGTTCGGTATCTTCTTGACGTGCTGATGCAGACGGTTCAACACATCCATCGCTACTAACATCCAACTCTGGAAGACCAGAGATAACAATGCTTTTCATCCGCGCCTCTTTCTCGATCATCCCCTCGCTTAGCTCGCTCAAATGCACCAATATCTCACTTGTGATCTCCCTCACCTCAGGGATATTTAGATCAAAAAGTTTTTTGAAAAGGCTTTGAAGAACTGAGGTGGAGCGAGACTCACCAAAACTTCCCTCCAGTGTTGACATACTTGTCAACTGCGTCAAAATAGGATCGACAGTGCTTTGAACCTGAGGAGAAGCAGCCTCGGGCCTCTGGGTTTTGCGCTGCGATCTGGCGGTTCTTGGAGGCATGGTGGGATATAGTGCAAGAAAACGGGATACGCAGGAGAGACGAGGAATTGATTGATCAACCCAAAAATGTTCACAATTGATTCGAATTATCAGAATCAAATGGGCACGGAAGTTATAAAGATCACCCGGCTACGTTAAAACACTCCAAAAAGGTGACAAGACAAAAAGAGAGTAGAGAATTGACAAGAATGAGCGAAAAAAATAGAAGGAACTAGCAATCAAAAGAGCACCTAAATAACCGACCGCTCACGGCCGGCGCACGAGAGAGAATGAATTCTACTATCTCTGGTAAGGGCAAATCAAACCATTCTTTTCCTGAATAAAAAACCACATAAACAAGCGCATTGATAGACATCGTCCTTCGATCACATGCGTATCAGGGCCTCCTTTTAACTATGCGGCGACAATTGCATCTGCAAACTGTTGTAGGTTACATATGGTTGAATGCTGGCCTAGGGGGTTTTCAACATACTGAATACCAACAAAGCCTTGCTCAAATGCTTCAAAATGTTTTTTCCTTTTCTGTGGTATTAAAACCCCAGGCTATCTTTTTTCTTTGTTTTTATGTTGCTGTGTTGATTGAACCAAGAGTTCTTCTAATGATCTTGACGTCGAAGAAAACTTCGTATTACTCTACAAGTCACGGGAGACTCATTTTCAAATAGACTTCAAACAACGTAAAACCAATGGTCCTGAAGAGGATGGTTCATCCAAAATTGCGAAATGTTCTCACCTTCAAATCCAATTCTGCAGACTTAGTAATGTTTCTCTTTATCTTAAGAATGCATACACACAACACAATGGATGCATACTATTTTTACTCATCTCATAAGTAGTAATTTATGGCAAGAACGCAACAGATCTAGTTTAATCTGTTGGTTGTGCCAACCCGAGATTTCGAGCACTGAAAACGTTAGTCCTCTTTACAACAAAAACTTCTCTGAAACCTAGCGTTGGAACAACTAACAAATAAAACTACATCATGCAAATGCCGAGGTTTATTGAAAAGATGACAAAACTAAAGCAACAGATATACTTTGTTCATTTTGTTTGGATGGAAAATTGCTTTCTCAAGTTTGAAATGCATTTCTTTCTCAAACCATAGTTTGTTGTAGTCAAACCTAATAATTCTAACTCTGTTTGAATGATGACTGTAGCACAATTTAGAGGTTAAGTTAGTCGATCCATACACGTGCCTTCTTTCCTTGAACATGTAGCTCATGCATGTAAGCGGATCGACTTCACATTTGTAAGCTAATGAATGGCCATACAACACACCGTTCACAGAATGTGCAAAATTTCCTTGAATTTCGCGAATTTCGGGAATGTCGCGGATTGTACAAGTTTGATCAAATCTCACAGGTAAACTGAGAAAAGTGGGTGAGTGTCCGCCCTAAAGGTCGTCCCGTTTGCACCTAAGGAGTACTTCAGAATCAACATGCTTGCCCCGCTGACCGCTACGAACGAGACGATAAAGATTTTGTTGTTCTTCAATATTAGACGCATATTTAAGCCAAAAAAGCAAAATTATTGCTGCCTTAAGCGGATGCAGATTCGACTTGCCATCAGATTTTTTGCTATGGACGCAGAATTTTTGAGAAAAAAGGAAATCAAGTGCTAGCTAACGCTCGCTTTAAGTTTGAAGCCATGAAGAGAATTCAAGCATGCGGTATTACTAGCTGCACTTGCCGCGGAATAGTTTCAGACGCTTTTGAATTTGCAAGCTCATTAATTGAGAAGAGGAGTAAGATGTAACCAACGGTTGACTACAAAGTTTAGCAGGAATTGCAAGTTGATGGCAAATCGAAATCTGACATCCGAGAAGACGGGAAAGTCAAATTACCGTGAGCCAGCCAGTCAACGTAAGCTTATGAATGTAAAGACAAGAGGGATAACTTGCAAATGCATCAGATTTATGTAGTGAATAAATTTTTAACAAGAGTAGTGACATTTGATCCACCATTACCTACTACCGAAACTGAAATTTACTGCAGATACCAGTGATACATTCTTTGTCAATTTCTCTCGTCTAGAGTGTTTATGCGGTTAAAAGCTATTCTTCAATGCAGTTTTTAGGGACCTTTGCTGGAATTTGTAAATGATTTTTGGCACATGATCACGTCGGAAAAGTGTAATGTCATTGTAATGCTATGCAATTTCAACGAGGGTAAGAACTTTCCAATAACAGTACCTATATAACAGCTTATCGCGAGTCGAACTTGCCAGCATTTTTCCAAACTTTTTGCCATACTTTGATATTCAATTTATGCTAAGTCGTTTCGAAAGTTCTGTCCAATCTTTACTCCAGATTGAAATCAACTTTGTAAACAATTGAACTTTGTTGGATTAAGCAAATTTTTTGCCATCAAAGGGATTGCGGCCACATAAAATGAGAGCGAGAGAGAAGCAAAAACTTGGATTTACAAAGTTTTAGAGCGTTTAACCCCACATAGTAATACTCTCAAATAGCGATAGACAAACTTTGATTGACAGTTTAGGATAGCATATTTAGAATTTATATCACAGCTAAAGAAACATCATGTAGACTTTGCATTAGTTTTTGTGAGACTCAAAAAAGCCAACTATTTGAATCTTCCTCCGAGAGCGCAAGATTGCCATAATAGACATAGTACAGTAAACATAGAAATGGTAGATACTATTCATATACATATGTACATACAATACATATGTTAAATGTGGACATCTGGTAATCGTACATTTGAGAAAAGCATTTCGAGGCAAATGCGCGATATACGCTTGGAAGTGAAGATCCAAAACTCTGGCCATTTCCTTGTTAGCGTTTATAAGGAACGGATAAATTCTGCTTGACTTCTTCACACACTCAAATGTTCAAGGTTGTCTTATGTTGACATAAAAGATCCTTCGAGAGAAGGCGCTAACAAGGGAATGGTCAGAAATCGAAGTGGTCAATCCAAACAAGCTGCCTACGATGCAGCAACACTGTTCGAATTTGTATTCTATATCCGCTTAGCGCCTAGGTGGGCGAAGTTATAAGCTTGAAGACCGTAATTTTGCTAAAAAAAATCTTTTATGCGAAGCGCAAATTTGGCATTACAAAGCCATTTCGACTTAATGCGGGCCAAAACATATGCAGCTGGTTTGCTTTATATTCTTAAAGCTTAAGGGCTAAGGCATACCTCGTCGTGACACCGTCGTCACGATTTTTGATCGCTGCGAATCGGCTGCCTGGCGACCGTTCACTGCGTGAAAATCGCTCATCGCTTGAACCCCAAACATAGCCAAAGCGATTTCGTAGACATTTACACACCGCACCACATTGTACGCTTATTTGGAAAGTTCGCATTAGTTTGTCTGAAGTGCATTTATTCATGAAACTTTGTACAGAATGTGGCTATGTCATATGCTTTCAGAAAACATTATAGCAAACGAGCAAAGATATGCATTCAACCTCATCTTCGTATTTACCAGATTTTTGTATCGGCGCAAGTTAACATCCGCGATGAAATCGACTACAGTTTGAGCGCACTCTTTCAGTCAAGAGTAGGCATATGTTAGCTTCGTAGCAGGAAGGCCATGCTTTTGGCCCTGTAAAAAACTTTGGTAAGCATATTTTATGAATTTATTATTTTAAGAATGCTGCGCGAGCTCTTGTTTGCCAATCTTCGAACGATTATACATATATGCTTGAGCAACCGAGATTGTACATTTATTTCTATTTCAAAAATTATAGCGAGAACATTCGAGATTTGGTCACCATTCACATGTTATTGATAAACAAGAACAGGAGATTATAATGCATTGTGAGAAATTAAATGCTAACACAGTGAGTGAGGTGACATATGGGAAGCATTGCATACTATATGCCCTGTGTTGTTTTCAAGGATTTATAGTATGGAATGTTAGATGATCTACTTTTTCTCATGCGGAGAGGAAGCGCTCGCGTGAGGATGGAATAGTCCTAAATGAGATTCGCATTTGCAAAAAAAAACACAAAACTTCTCACAAAGAAAAAACCATCCGAGCGGATGTCGCGTCGCTGGTGCAGCATCAGCGACGCGACATCGCTCAATTCCAGCGATATCGCGAAGATATCGTTGGCGAAAGTATGCCCGTCCAAAAATAGCCCGCGATTCGTCGCAGCGTCAACCTAACACAAACGCGGCGCGACCACACGGTTAAGCGCACCGGCGCGGCGGACTCGGAACTTATGTCCGACATGGAAATCGCGCAGCGACTGGAATCGCGGGAGGGCATGCTTTAGGCCTAAAGGCGGGATGAAAGTGCAGTTATTTGCTCAATTCCGCAATTTTTATGTACAATTTTTTCGCAATAAACCTTCTTTCAATTTCGTCCACAAAGGCGCTGAGCAGATATCTATAAAATACAGATTCGAAATCAGTGAAGGCTATATCGAATGGTAGGCAACTTGCTTAGATTGGCCACTTCGCCTTCTGACCATTCCCTTGTAAGCAACGTCGTCTGCAAATGCAGATAAATATTCTCAATTGTACCTGCACAACTAGAATAATGACTACTAACAATAACGCGAGGAGTGTATAATCATTGTAGGATATATCGCAAGCATTTTCAGACGTTACAAATATGCTGCCTATTGTACTTTATAATATAGTCTATTTTAGGAAAGCACGAAAAGTGCTGTTTGTATATTCCAAAAGAAAAAAGCGAAATCAGCAATTTTGGTGGATTCAAAGTGTCGGTAAAAGAATTTAAACGAGATCCTTTCGAGACTATCAGACACACCATCTTGGATGTCAAATGGGAGTGAGTGTATACGCCTTATCTCAGTCCACAATTTGGTTTGCAAAATTTGATTTGCAAAATAAACTATTGTTGATTGGGCGGCATTTTGGCTATGTCGAATCGAGAGAACAGGTAAGGTAACCAGCAAGGATGTCAAACCGAATAGGATGGGTAATTCGCTACAATAACTCTCTTACGACAGATGCTAAATCCATTTTTTCCGTTTATTTCATTCAACTTAAGTCCATGTGATGATGCACATGATCAGTGTTGATATCTTCATGGGCATATAAGAGAGAAACTTACGAGAAAAAAATATTCGAGACGAAGCTCTGAATGCTGCTCATTATACCATGTAAATGAAGTGGGTAGAGGATAATAATTTGGCGCAAACATCATATCAATCTCTTTTAGGCTGACGTACGTTGACGTACCTTAGGCGTAGTCGTTATCTACCTTTGTAGCATGTCTGCAGATGTGCTCTGAACACAGATTAGCAAATTTATTCAGACAGTCGCTTTGACTCCATCAAATGTCATCGATAGCGGCATTAAGTAACTTAGCCTACATCCGTTGAACCAAGATATGCAGTTTATGCTTATGCATGACTTTTACGGTACTTTAGCAGTAGGAGGATGTACGAAGAGTGTGCCGCTACTATCGGCGCCAATTTCAAGCATTCTGATGCCAAAATCAATGGCTATGTGAGAATTTTTGAAACATCGATAGTAACTCACATAATAGGTTCTGGGTTACGCATGAGTTATATGGAGCTCAATGAACACTCAAACTGCACTCTAAACTTGAGAGTTAAGCGATTTAGTCACATTGCCAACACTTACAATACCCATTGCGAACAGATTGCATATGATACAGCAGCGGTTGACTGAACAGGGAACGATACTTGGTGACCCCGGCCACACATAATGGTTTGTATATCAAAAAATGCGCCTTCTAATGCTGGTTCGAGTACTGTTTTCCATATCTGCGAAACGAAAACATGGATGAAGTTATTTTTTTTTCAAAAATGAATTGCGCTACTGCGAAGGGTGAAAATCATCAATAAAAATTTTGCTTTCCTTTTCAAATGCTAAATATGATTTAAACAGGTATAAATACAACGTTACACCTTTCAAGATTCTCCTCAGTAGCTTCAAACGGTAAAATAGATTGGGTGATTTTAATTATCCAAAAGTACGCAAATTTTCTACGAGACAAAAGTTCGTAACTGCCTTCATATGATCGATTCGCAGATATCGAGCACAGATTTAGAATCAGCGTTTCGAGGTGCACCTTATGGTATACAGTGTGCGCTAAAATTATTTGCGCTAAAATATTCAAAGTAATGCAACAACAAAGCCGATGAGAAATTTGGTGTAAATTTAATGTCACAGAATACCGTAAGCATACTCTATAAAAAGCACTATCAAGATCCCGAATGGGTCTTTCTTTAGAGAAGTAAAAATTGCAAAAAGCAATGTTTGTTACAGAAAAAACGCAAGCTGACGCAAATTATAAAAGAGTCAAAATTTTTGTTTTGAATGCTCCTAAAGATACCAAATTAAAGTCTGAAACTAGCTCTATTTTATGGCGAAATCTTTACCTGAGAGAAGCGGTCAATAAAAAGATACATGCTGGGCAAATTTGTGAGCCTCTACCCGCGTGCAGCACGCGACAAAACCAGAGAAATATTATGAAGTTTTACCGAAAAGTAAAACAGGCAATTTCACATTTTTCAACTAAGATACAATATTATAGAAGCAAGAAAACGATATCAAACTTGGCCGCTGGCTAAGCCAGTCTTATATTCGTATGGTGCTTAATGGTACACGCGCAAATAATTGCGGCGCACCCTGTACATCGCATTCCGGATGGCCGCGGTCACCAAATATCATTTCCTTGTACGTACTGGGAATCTCTGATTGCCATTTGCCGCTCGGTCGTTGCCGGTTCTCCCTTGTTTTTTGATTTTCACTTTCAACGGGTTGTCTCAATACCCGGTTCTCCGAGCACGCCTTCGGGTTGAGTCAAACTGCGCAGCATACGTGACGTAGCGGCGTAGGCAGCGTACCGCTCGATATGTTTCATCATAGCAACGTACGTGGCGTAGGCTGCGTACGCCGCGTACGCCGCGCAGCCTGGCTCGACCCTTCGCAAGCATTTTTTCCTTGAGATATATTTGCTCAGAATTATGAACAGAGCAATGCAGACAATGTATCAACAAAAACACGATGGAAAGTTTTTGAATCAAGAATAAAAATTTAGACTAGCATTGACTGCCGTATGTTCTAATTTAGGTGTAAAGAATCCCTCAATTAAATAGCCAACTTTTGCTTGGCTTTTTTTTGAATTTTCAAACCCGGAAGATGAACGGTTTTGAGAAAATTCGAGAAAAATCCGTACATAGTCTCTCCTTCCCTCTGAACCGGCGGCCTGTGATGCAAAATCTTCAACTGAATACCGCCAGAATGTAGAATTTTGGAGTTAGTTTTTCAAGGTTTTCAGCATAACAATTTCTTGCGTAGTTTTTTCAAAGTTTTTAGCAAAACATTTTCTTGCGTTGTTGATGAAATGCACTACTTTGTTTGCGGTGCCAAAAGCTAGTAATTGTTGTGCTGCGACATTTCTTCTTTGTTTTCTCGTGATCTAAGTCTGGAGCCTCGGAAACGATTGTTATCAAAAAAGCTCTTCTGCCCAGAGCGAACACGTTATAGTTATCACTAGCAGATGTTGTATGCGTGCAGTAGCTGCGATAGCAGCATGTATTCGTCCTGGCTACACTTATTGCTAGATAAGTAATCAACAATGATAATGTTATTGATGCTTGATCGGTATTTTAGAGACTACTGATGTTTACTCTTAGCGAGTTGTAACATTCATTCATTTCATTGATTTTGAAGGGACAAGGAAATGGTCGTCCACCACTTGGCTAACTTTAGTTGGCCTGACCACACTGCACCGATAGATGCAGCCCCAACTATAGGAATGTTGAAATTGTCACGATCTCTGGCAAATGGAGCACCGATAACAGTGCATTGTTCTGCAGGAATTGGCCGAAGTGCAACATTTGTAGGTGAGGTGCAAGAGCGTGCATTCATACATGTTCTAATTTTGCTTTTTTTCAAGCTTAATCATTGACAATAAAGCAGGCCAAGCGCAAAGGTGTGGCATACAACTTTCAAAACGATTCCTCCTTTAATTATCTATTCTTTCCCAATCATTTGGCATCAGAACTCATTACGTCTACAATTTATTACTCAATAACTAGCGACCCTAAGGGCCGCTTGCAAGTGGATTGGGGCAATACAATTTAGCCGTATGATTTTCAACACAATTACACCTACGTTTTATACCTTTCAGTTGTGGGCAACACGAAACTGATTAATCAATGACTTTTGACTCTCCTCTAAATATAAGAATCCTCGTAGTTGATAGTCCATATCTTTTGAGTCCCTTCTAAAAATTTTCTTTGGGCCAAATTTTTCCACCAACCTTCACTGAAAGTCACCAAGCAGTCGATTCTCAGAACAACGATGTAGTCTACAATAACTCAGCTACGTACTTTAGTTCCCGAAAATTTCGGCAGCGAAAACAAGCATTCTTCTCACGCCCTGCGTGTCGCTTACAGACCACTTTTTTGAATAAACCCTGCTCCGCGTACCGCCTACAGAGCGACATACGTAAGAGCTGCCCTACGATTGTCCAGAACGGTATCTCACGAGAAAAAGCTTTCTTACGGGCCTTCTACAGAGTTGTAAACTGAGAAAGTACTGTCCTCTGAACAACTATAAATGATATTATATTCTAGGTAGATCTGCCACGCCCCCTACATACTAATATTGCGAGGAAGCCGTATGGGCTGTACAGACGAAAGAAACTGCCCGCGAACGGTGATCAGTCATTAGAAGGAAATGCCCTATGGGCCGCTTACAGATCCTTACTTTGAGGAGTAACTGCCCTGTGGGCTGCCTACGAACCGATATTTTTCAAAAAAAAACTGCACATGAAAAAGAAGCCTATGAGCCGCTTGCGGTCCTTCACTTCGAGAAGAGGTTGCCCTATGGGCCGCGCATAGACCGATATTTTAAAAAGGAATTGCTCTTGAAATTTTCAAACCAACCTTCAAAAAATGCCCAAAGAGCCGCTTTGACTACTTTTTTCAAGAAACAAGCGCCCTATGAATACCACAAGCTAATATTTTGAGAACAAGAGAAGCTATAAGGCTGCTTAAGACATATCTTTACGTTCTAACCAATGTATCAAAGAATAACAGCCCTACGCGCCACTGTAGACCGGTAACTATAGAAAGAACATGCCCTATAGGCCACTGACAGACCAATGTGTTAAGAAGTTACTCACAATCCCTATAGACCGATGTTTATAAAAAATAATTGCCATATAAGAAGCTTATTACCGGTTCAGAAAGTACAAACCTCTCCCCTGACCCCCAACAAACCCATACCTGAGAAAAAACTGCGCTAAGGCCGCCCTACAGACCGATATTAGAAAAAGCTACCTTACAAGCATTCTCCGCCCCCCTCCCCTCTCCCCCCTCCTTCCCCCATAGACCAAGAATTATGAGAAGGCGCTGCCCTATAGGAATCAGCCCGATATCCTAAAGTATTCTATTACCCTAGAACCCCTACAAATGTACTGCTCGTACGAAGCGCTCACATATGATCTGCTCTATGGAGCCAAAAACCGAAGTTTTGATCGAATAAATGGAGCTACCAGCTACTTAGATACCTACACAACGGTATTTCGAGGAAGTGCCCTACAGACCGACTATTCTAGGAGATGCTCTGGCCGCTTATAGATCAGCGTCTGTGAAATGATTTTGCCATATGCGAAGCTTATGGAACGATAATTGAATGATTTGTGGAAAAAACTCGCTACGTGAAGCTTGCGGATCAATACTATTAACAGAACTGCCTTACAAGCCCCTACAAATCAAGAAAGTGTCCTATGAACAATTACATTTATTGAAAGATCTACCCAATGGACAGCTAATAGACCGGAGTGTAAGAGATGATTGCCCTATGAGCCTTAGAGACCTATAAAAATCGCTCTACGGGCCGTTTACCAACTTTTATTTCGAGAAGAACAAAGAACTGTCCTCATCAGTCCTCACCAATTATGAGCAACCATGAACTTTGACAAATACGGGCTGCCAAGAACTTTAGCAGGAAGATGAGAGTGTGAACAGTTGAAGCGTAAACGTTGAGAAACTACTACAGCATGTTTACGCAAGACACCGATTCCCAAGTCATACATCCGGGTACAAATTTGCGAAAGAGGAGGGGGGATACTGTTAGCAACCTTACGAGAGTGTCGGCACCTCCCCACACTATAGCCTTTTTGCACTTAGTAGACGCACCCTTTTGAAAACATTCCCCGAGGAGGGACGATGCTTACCTCTTCGAAAACACGCTAGCCTTGTTGACAAATCTGGACCCTCCGCACCCTCGGCAATCACTCGCCTCATTCCACAACTTGTCAACATGTAAGTGCAAAACCTTGCCATTCTTTATTATAGAATGATAACGGGCTAAGGTTGTTTACACAAGTTCGTTCGTCTATCTATATGTTTGTCTGTCACGAAATTCGGTAGCGAGTTGCAGCCAAGTTGTTGGACTAGAATTTCAGCTAGGAATTTTACAAGTTGTTTGAAGCAGACCTGCCTAAGCTTAACATAAACCTTGTCTTGCATCACTACTTCTACTCTCTGATTTCTGGCTGGCAAAGTGTCAAAATATCATCCACATCTAGACTAAACCCTGAAGGCGCGAAAATGCGCTTTCAAACCCGATAAAATCGTTGAGACGGAGTTGCATTGAAAATCAATTTTTTGGCATAAACAGAGTGTTCGGCCACTTTATTCTCAAACATTCGAGTGCGAACTACGATGCATTTTAGTAAACTGTCAAAATCATTATCTTCTGACATCTTTCATTACTTACATGCGAAATTGGGAAAGGCGGGAAAGGAAATCCTTTACTTTCGTCTGCTTCGGATTGCACTACTCAGATTGTTAGGCTCTGCCTCCTTGCCTGTCTGTAACTCAATGCAAGCTGCTATCGAATTCAACTGCAATCTCTCGATCGCTCAACGTCTAATCATGAGTCTGCTCTACCATGTGGGTCGAGCGCTGAAAGCTTACAGTGAGTTGCAGAATGTTTCCTCCTTTTTGCTTACAAAATGTGGAATTATACTATAATAATTCACAACTAGGGAAATATAATAATGGCATCAGAATTTTTTGTTGCACCTCTTGCTTAACTGTGAGAATGATCTACATCGCTATATTGAAGCTTTTTTAGCAATTGACTATGCGTCGCAAAAAATTCGTGAAAAGCCCAACACATCGATGGTAGACGTGATTAAAGACTTGCGAAGCCAACGGTTCCAAGCTATCCAGTCTGCGATACAATACGTTTTCCTGCATATATGTCTGCTGGAGTTGTTTGCTGGCGTAAGTTTGTTCGAAAAAAAATTTGCACAAAACTTCAGGAGCAGAGCGAATGTTTTTAGCTGATAAGTATGGGTGCCTTGTGGTGATATGCCTTGTTTGCAATCGAAGGATCAAACAAGGGCATACGCCCCTTATAGCAGTTGCCCAAAATTTACGTTGATAGAATTTTCAGGTGGTTACATAATTGACTAATAGTAGTGACTGTAAGAGATTTTCCGTTAGCAAAAAGAGATTGAAGAAATGGTGCGCAAGGCCAAAGTTAGGTCAATCAGTTAATAACTGGCGGTCGGTCGAAATCATACCCTATCATAAAGCGCAGGGGGGACCATCCGACGTCAACAACCGGCGAAGAATGTTTGCCCAGATCTCTGAGTTAATTCTTGCACTTTCGCCCGCTTCCATACTGTTTACCGTTACGACTCAACCTAAGTGCAACCTATGACGTCATCAATGGTATGATGTTTTGTGCCATCTTCGTGTTCCGTCTGCTTCCTTGATGTTTATCACGACGTCAAGCTAAATGCAACCCCAATTCCGTCGCCTACAACGCTGTTAGCGGTCGTTTATTTTAACCGCCTTACATTTTGCTTTATTCATTTGTGAAAATAAGCAAACGTCGGATAGCATCTTCAGGTCGGTGATAATACTTAACATTGATATCTGCATTACATCTCCTCAATTCTTTCTAAATCAGTGCACCACATCATCACTGTTTTTACCACTAAACGTACCTACATGCAAAAACAAATCTCAAAATTGAACCTTCCCTTAAAAATCAAGCAAAATCATATCACTCATTGTCCATTTTCTTATTGTGCACCATTCCATTTTTGTCTTATTACCAAACGTATCTCATTAAAAATTTTCCAATTTTACTCTGAGAAAACCCTTCCACAAGAATGAAGCAAAAGAAGCGAATGAAGCATGCTGAACATATCTTCACGTGAAAAATTCCTTAAACTCACTGTGAAAATCGAACCTATTTGAGAAAATCATACCCTATAATAAAGCGCAGGGGGGACCATCCGACGTCAACAACCGGCGAAGAATGTTTGCCCAGATCTCTGAGTTAATTCTTGCACTTTCGCCCGCTTCCATACTGTTTACCGTTACGACTCAACCTAAGTGCAACCTATGACGTCATCAATGGTATGATGTTTTGTGCCATCTTCGTGTTCCGTCTGCTTCCTTGATGTTTATCACGACGTCAAGCTAAATGCAACCCCAATTCCGTCGCCTACAACGCTGTTAGCGGTCGTTTATTTCAACCGCCTTACATTTTGCTTTATTCATTTGTGAAAATAAGCAAACGTCGGATAGCATCTTCAGGTCGGTGATAATACTTAACATTGATATCTGCATTACATCTCCTCAATTCTTTCTAAATCAGTGCACCACATCATCACTGTTTTTACCACTAAACGTATCTACATGCAAAAACAAATCTCAAAATTGAACCTTCCCTTAAAAATCAAGCAAAATCATATCACTCATTGTCCATTTTCCTATTGTGCACCATTCCATTTTTGTCTTATTACCAAACGTATCTCATTAAAAATTTTCCAATTTTACTCTGAGAAAACCCTTCCACAAGAATGAAGCAAAAGAAGCGAATGAAGCATGCTGAACATATCTTCACGTGAAAAATTCCTTAAACTCACTGTGAAAATCGAACCTATTTGAGAAAATAGTTAAACATCAATACTGTGCAAACTTTCCAAATTGTTATCCACTAAGTGATGAAAAAACATGGTGATGCGAATTGCCTTGAAACACTAAACGTTTTGCAAAAAGCTCACTTGGCAAGCAACGCAGGTTCTAAGAGAACACTTCATCTCAAGATTTTAAATTAATCCAAAGACTGAAAATTTCAAAAAAAAACTGTAAAAGTTACTGTGATCGTGAGAGAAGTTTTGAAAAGAGCTACACGCTGTCTGTCTGCTATCAATATACCAGTTGTGAAAAGAGATGGAAAGAAAGGGACGCTTCACTAACCATCAACTCAACCCTTGCTAACCTCAGGAACATGTAGCTTTTTAGTGCAATTTTGTCAGAACATTGCACTACCTCAAAATCGTATAGACAGCGGTGATTTGCTTGAATGAACAGCTTAAATTGGATATACGCTTCAATACTAGCTCTCTTTACGGAATTCGAGTCAATAGCCTACCAAGATGAGTTGGAAAATGGGTGCGCTTTAGAGCATTTCGGGTGGAATTTATAGTCCTAAATGGGCGTCTTATATGGAAGGCTTTCCAGATTGTTGAACAATTTGGAAAGCCCATATAAGACGCGAACGCGAGCCCTGGCATTAGAATTTTTTAAAGCATATTTCGTGAGGCGGAAGGGAGGTTTTTTCATTTAGGAAATTACATAATAGTAAGTTAGAATTTTGGCTAAATGCATTCAAGTGCGCTGAGTTGAATCCTCCTCTTGCTGAAATCTCGCAAAGAGTTACTTTGAGGCCCATATGAAAATTCTCCCAGTGGCAAGAAAAGAAGCGGCGTCCCCAATGATGAAAAGCATAGCAGTGTTCGCCCGCCGCCTTTTTATGACAAGGGACGTCGCTTACTTCACCCCAGCTTTTCATATGGGCCTTCTAAGGTAGTTCGTAGGGACAGTCGATGAGGAGAGCAGAGCCCCGGGTGAAAACAGCCATGAAAATGTACATAGCTGGGAAAAGCTTGCCGGGTTTGTGACGGCCACTTTGGTCAGAAAACCTTAGGATGTGAAAATTTGAGAGTATCCGAGGATTTTCGCAAATGTGGGAATGAGCAACTTTGGCAGCTATAGTTTATGGTGATAACGCTGAAACTTTGGCTCAAAACCGCACACCAACGGTTAGGGCTTGCGCTGCATTTCGCATGGCAGGAGGGTTCAACGAAAGTGGGAATGGACAAGTCCAAACGCCGCAGACATGATGCAGAATCTTTGCGTTGCGCAGCTCATCACATCAATTTTGGCCTGATTCGGTGCACAGACTTTAAAGGTGTAAGGTGGCGCATTTTCTCAACATCATCTTTGGAGCTAGATTCGAAAGCGATTAAGTAAGATCAAAAGGATTTGAAAATGCGAGAAACGATCGGTAGTTTCGGCGGTTTATAAAGGAAACATTTGGATGAAAACGAGTTGGGGGGGGGGGGCAGTTTGGCTCAGAACTCAGGAATGACAATAGAACGCGAGTTGCAAAGAAAGCTGAGAGGAAGCGATAATTCATCACTTTGGTTAATGATGTAACTTGGGAAACCATTTAAAGCAGGAGATCCTGACATTTAACTTTGATGATCTCCGAATTTGTTAAGTGTCTGAGAAATCGCCATACTTTTGGAGGAGAAAAGGTTTCCACGCTCTAACTTTGAGAGTCATATCCCACTTCACACACACAGCCAGTCCGGAGCGCCGCGAAGCGGCGCTTCGGACTGGTCTTATATATAAAGCTGAATGTCTGTTTGTCTGTATGTATGTATGTATGTATGTGTGTGTGTACGTATGTTCCGAATAGAAAATTCCATTTCTGAACCGATCCGGACCAAACTTGGCACACATACACTTCGGGCCCCGGCGGGTGTCATAGGCTACTTTTCGTCATCGATCGATATCGATTTTATCGATTTTTATCGATTTTTTTGCAGAGTTCACCCACGGGGCTGGGAGTTGGCACAGGGGGGTAATCGAGCATGCTGATCATCCCCAAGGGGGGTGATCAGCATGCTCGATTACACCCCTGTGCCAAATTTCAGCCCCCTAGCTCAAATTTTCAAAAAATCGATAAAATCGATAAAAGTAATGGACGATCTTGAAAACTAATATTGTATTCGTAATCTGCATGCTCGATTACCCCCTGTGCAAACTCCCAGCCCCGCAGGTCAAACTTTACAAAAAAATCGATAAAATCGATAAAAGTAATGGACGCCTGAAAACTAATATTGTGTTCGTAATCAGCATGCTCGATTACCCCCCTGTGCAAAATCCCAGCCTCGCATGTCAAAATTTACAAAAAAATCGATAAAATCAATAAAAGTAATCGATAATTCTGAAAACTAATATTGTATTCGGAATCCCCATGCTCACTTTCCCCCCCCCCTGTGCCAACTCCTAGCCCTGTAGGTGAACTCTGCAAAAAATCGATAAAAATCGGTAAAATCGACATCGATCGATAACGAAAAGTGGACTGTGACACCCGCCGGGGCCCGAAGTGTATGTGTGCCAAGTTTGGTCCGGATACGGCGGAGCCGGGTAAGCCAGCTAGTATCACATAAATTCGTACAGGCCCAGATAAGTAAGGCATACCTTACGCAATTTCAATGCCGCGCGATCTGGCACTGAAACGACTGTTCATAACTGGTCATAAGGGCGCTAAGCTTGGGCCAAATTTCATGCTTTTGCAACAACTCACAGAAGCTACGTGTTTATGCTTGAGACCCGCGCACGGTGAATCGTAGACATCTTGCAATTAGCCATGTCGCGCTGATGTAGCGATTTGACAGAATATTGCGGGAAGTATGCTTTAAGCTTTAGAGGCAATGCGCCAGCAAACAATACATCTACAGTTTCTTGCACGTCCAAGCCATACCGTGTCATTCGAAAGCCGAAAGGGAGTCTTCCTCAGCTTGCTAACTCCAGACCACGTGAATTCCGTCTTGTTTGATGTGATTAGCCTCCGAGCCTAATATCCGTAACGAGTTAAGCGCTGGCAGATACGACCCTACCATCTTAAAGGTACCAAACGCTCTATATATACTTGAAAGCGTTTTTACTTATTTTTTCCTTGCTACTGTTGAACACTGCTATAGGGGGAAACGTCGAATTCCGCTCCAGTTTTCACTCTACTTCTTCAGCGCAAATTAAAATTTTTGTCAAAATGTTCAAGCATTTTTAGAAACGCGCCAAATTTCTAACGATTGAAAATAATGACAGCGTTTTATACACTCCCGCCTCACAAACAAACTCTCTCCTGAGATATTTTTATTCGAATGTCTTTTAGTCTTTGTAAAGAGACGCAGGCGCCTAGGTCTTGACCTGAATGACAGTTTTTTCAAACAGTTTTGTTATGTGGAGTAAAATTAACTGAAGTCAGCACACTTTTGCAATTTGAAACTCAGTCTAATTCCCAAATAGCTTTACTGAGAAACTTGAGTCCAAATATTATCACAAAAGCTTTTTTGTGAACCCTTGATTTCGGAAATCACTTACATCAAAATGTATCCTCTATTTATTTGGGAGTGGCGGGTAAGGGGCGGAGCTTCAATCGTTAGTCAAGCCCGAGAAAAGTAGAGAACCTCTCGCGAGAGGGGTGCAAAGTTTCAGAGCTCTACCTCTCCCCTCTTTCCCCCCCCCCCCCCCCACCCAAGAGGTTGAAGCTTACAAGGAAATCTTCAGAAATTGAAGTGGACAATTTGAACAAACTGCATACCATTAAAACAGTGTTTCTTAATCTGTCTGCCGTATCTGCTGGACAAATTTATGGACGAAGCTATAAGCCATTGAAAGCCAATGTTTTGCTAAGAAATCGTTGCAAAGTGCAAGTTTGGCCATACAGGGTCATGTTCGGCTTAATAATGGGTCAAAAACATTAAGCTAGGTTATTTGAGATAGCTCATACCTAAGTGGGGCTAAAAGGGCAGTAACGTACCCAAGTTTGCAACCATGTACGATTTCTTCGCAATAAAACTGCTCATAACTCTGCCAAAGGCTTTGAGCAGAAACAGGGAAGCAGAAACCGCTGTTAGCTGCGTTAAATGGCATGCAGCTTGTTTGAATTAGTCCCTTCGAGTTCCGACCATTCCCTTACTGGTCCCAACTTTACTTGTTGTGTAGCCAACAATCGGTTGTGCAACAGAGCTAAGCTTCAACTCCATGAGGAATTACTTCCTTGATCATATTGCTAATCCGATTTTTCTAATCAGGCGAAAAGGTGAAGAATTGCTTTTTGGATTTCGCTTAAGGGACTTTGTAAATTATTTCGCAAGAAAAAGAAACAAAGTTGGGTTTTCTGTTTTTAAACGTCCTGAGGCTATTCTCCTCTATGCGACAAAAGTCCGAAATTTTGAGCTCAAGATTTTTGAAAGGCGCTAAGGAAAGCCGTCTGAGTTTGCGTTGGTTTGCATAGGAACTAGAAGACCGAAGCTTTGGAAAATGTGTAACGATCTCTAAGACAATGATTTTTTTTTGCAAAGGCTCCAAAAATGTAAAATATCTGCATTGATTCTGTTACAAACTTTAGCTCTGCTTTTAAAAAAAGATTGGCGTTCTTCTACACTTATAGTTTGACCTTTCATAAGCCTGGTGGCTTATAGTGCGTTAACACCAACCCCATTTTCGAGCAATATGTAAACTTTGGTATTGACGATATAAGCCGGTTGTTCAAAGCAAGAAGATTACTGCAGAACGGGATCGATCATCTTTTGCAACAAATGCGAAAAGCTTAATGACTTATCTAGGCCAAGTCACGTCTCCACTCGGCGATTTACAAAAAAAGGGTTCACACATCTATTAGAATGGGATATGTCGAAAGGAGGAGGCCGAGTGCTTGCATGATATAATATGATTAACACTCCTTTATTTCTCAAGATGCCGTGTTATTTACAGGAAGGAGCTCTGCAACGCGACACCAAATACCATCATTATTTGGACAGTTATGTTTCGATGATCAAAAGGTATAACAAAAGGGTGGAGACCAAAGAAAAAGAAAGAGAAAAGACTGAAGCTCAAGCTTGATAGCTCATGGAATGAATTTCCAGCATATTTGAGACATTTCTTAAACTGTAGTCATGCATATTTGAACTGTAATACGAATTATCGCTAACTGCATTGCATGTATATCATGCCCATAAAAATTAATGAATGTTCAATGGCTATCGTACTCGCATCTATTGCATACAATTTTTTGCAGGCAGCAACTCTGTCTCAGCACCATATTGAAGAAATACAAATGGATAGGCGAACCATCTGTCAGTTGTCATAATTCGTCCACTCCTCCGCACGGCCCACCCCCTTGAACAAACTCTCCTCAGCCCTTGACGAGTTTTCACGTGACAAACACAATGGAACATATAGAGTCTATCTGTGCTTTTGACAAGGATTGCATTAGAAGCATTCGTCCACGCTTTTCACAAATTGTCCAAAACGGGTTTTTTTAGGAGTTCACGCACTTGGAGTGCCATATTTGAAAACAGCACCATGAAAAGGCCTGGATAAAGCGGAAAAATAGATGTTTAGATTTTGCCTGGACGCTGCCTTCAAATAGCTACTCTGAACGGGATTTCAAACATATTTGTGCAAAGTGACTTCTTACTGTACCTCCTACACAATTCACATAAACTGCCAGCAGCAAATCAATGTAAACGTTATCAGCCCACTGTTATCCATCCAAACGAAAATCAATTCGAAAAACTAACGTATACCTACCGTGTCCCCCCAGAATATGACATACATCTATATACAAAAAAGGTGCTTCTCGCTGAGCAGAGTCGATGGTACTTATGGATTTAGAATTTCAACCTTTGAATCGATATATGGCGGACTTTGACGAACTCTGGAGAAGTTAGAGGGCGCTGCCTGACTTCGGTGCTCGCCGTCTAACTTTGTCGCCTAACTTTGGTACTAGGCCGCTACTTTTATCACGAGCAGTATTATATTAGCTTATGAAAAAAAAAGAAATTCTGAGATTGAAAGGAAAAGATTTACTAAAAAGTCAAATGCTACGAAAAGTAGATGTGACTATCTACAGAGCAAAGTAAAACATTTGACACAATTGTAGTATCTTGTCTTGGGTATAATTTTACGTTTTCTTCGGCGTTTTCGCCTTCTTCGTTTCTGTCTTCGTCTTAGTTTTCTTCGTTTTTTTCGATGCTCTTTCTTGCCGTTCTTTGCGATGTCTAGCCAACAGCATAATTCCAACAATAACCAGTACCAGTAACACGATCCCGAAGACAATGAAGATGAAAATCATCATGCTGAAAATGCGGTTATTGCACAAAGATACATGTGTTGCCAAAAAACGCCTATAAGAAGCTCCAGTATCTTTTTTACTTATGAATCGGTAAGCCGCAAAAATTTTTCGCATTAGTTAATATTGGGTCTTAACATATTTTGTTACACTTCGTATTACTATAAAAAAAAACTTGGCAAATCCTCGCATTTAGCATATGTGATGGAAAGCGCAAAGCATTTGGCATCAATTTCAATTCACAGGGTCACGGTTAAGATAACTGTATGAAGCTCTTCAACCTTAAATTTTTGTTTTTGTTTGTTTTTGATTTTTCTTTTCTATCCTTAAAAATTTCTAGGAAAATTTTTCAATATTGCAAGCTGAAATTTGCTAAAAAGTAGTTCGAAAAATTGTGAAAATCCAAAATCAAATTTTACGTTGGGATTTACACGTCAAAAGCCACAATGCTCCACACAATTTGAACGAGGAATATCTTTCGGGAAAAGTTATAAACATTTTTCCCATTGAGTGTAACAAAAATTATGTAGCGACCTGTTACCTATTTTTTATTACCACTAATTGCTAAAAATTTCTCGCGTAAAGTGCCACTCGCGTATTAGACATTTATAGCACAAATGACTTGCAACTCCATGAGAAAGTGGTGTTAAATCGTTAGGCTTCTTCTGTGTGTTCCAAGATAGAGCAATAACCGTTTCGACCTTTTTTTTGATGCGTCGAAAATGTGAGTACAACCTTCAAAAAGCTCAGTAAAACATGTGAACAGCTGTGCAGTGAACTTGGCATGCGCAAAAACCTTGCTGCCTAACTTGCCAGGCCTCTCTAGAAGTCTTCCTGAACGCCCTATGTCATAATAGCCTAGACTTTACAAGTTTCTACTGTAATTCCACAGTAATGAAAAGTGAGAAGTGTGCTCCGTATTGTGAACAAAAGTTGAAACCAGCTTTACAAAAAGCGGCTAAAGACCACGAAGTAAGAGACTAACTATCAAACAGTAAGCGCATTTTTTGAGACATCCTGTATGTGTGATTATGGTTTACGGGCGCATCTAAAAAGAGAACCAAGTTTAGTCAAAGTGGCCTCTTCAGATGGAATGTATAACATGTTGAAGGGCATAGAACGCTGATTTCAAATCTGCTTTCCTTATCTGCGAAACATTTTTGAACCAACAGTTATGATCATTTATAGGAGCAAAAAATAAACTGCGAGTTCAGGGTAATCTTTATAGCCCTTGAGCAACTCAACCAAGTGAGATAATTTTTATCTGAAATTTTCATCGGATAATTTGCTCTGATAACCATCACTGTTACATTGAAGCGCTAGAACAAATATTCGGCAAACTTTATCCTATTGGCACAGTTTTTTACTGTGCTAAAAACTCATAACTCCTCGTCTATATAAACGTTCCGCAGATAAGAAAGGCAGATTTGGAATCAGCGCCTCATGCTCCTTAGTATGGTATAATCCCACACAAAAAGAGCAAACACGACTAAACATGGTTCCCTTTAATTTAGTTAAACATGAAATTGTTACGCAATATTAATTTTCGAACGCAAGTCCCGCGAGCAGTCCTCAATTAAATTGCAATTATGGGGAGTCATAAATATAGAATGGCGATATTGTTCTTAGTCTTACGAACTCGCAATGATTCACATTGAAACATTTATAGCATATGTTTTGGAACACCTTATATAGTAGGTATTTCACTTTGCAAATGCTGCAAAACGCGTATGCGAATAAACAACCTAGGGTTGATGAAATTGCTATCACTAAAGAAAAATGAGTTTCATTCTAACAAGGGACGATGCCAATTTGAGATTTCGAACTGGAATGAACCGCCAATCATTAGATGCGTGATTCCATTTCTACCTTCAATATTTGCGATGTATTTATTATGTTTGCTTTGAAAGTGGATGACTAGCAAGTAATGGGTGTGCTGATTTCAAGTAAAGCTCACATTTACCGAAAACAAAATGAATGTTTTTGGACATTTTAGTCCTTGAAGATGTGGCGCTAAATATTTGCCAAATTTGGACTTTTGAGCGCTCATAGCTTTTTCTAAAGATATGGAAGGTAGTTCAGGCTTCAGTTATCCACCTTAAGTTGGGATCATAAGGTAAACTAAAATTCGTAAGGTAAACTGAAATTTTATATTGGGTAATAGATTTTTTAAATTGACAGTCATGAGAATCATGCATTGTCATCCCCTTGAAGGAGTCGTGCATTCAGTTATTCTCCCACTACATCAAGCGAGATGAGCATTCAAAAAAGTGCGAAGATCAAGTTGCTGATTGGAAATGACTGACGGACAACTCTCAAAAACCTTGAAAGAATTTTGTGTCAGCCAGATTGTGTTAAAATGTAACTCTAGTTCAAAAAAAAAACTAATAAAATTGTTCTTCATTCTACACACATTGAGTGCAAGGATAATCGAATGAACAAACTTACAAATCAACTCCTCCCTTGTCGTCCTCTTTTTTCTTTCCGATACTATTTTTTCCGCCACCAGCTGAAAGACAACCCATTTGTCTTGTTATACAAGAACATTTTTCTCTTCAAATACAAGTAGTATGTCAAAACATTGGGAAGCTGAGATTCATTGCCACGCTTCAAAGATCCAGCTATCACTGGATGCCGTACTTGATTCACTTGATTCGTTTGATTCACTGCTCTCACTGCTCTATTGGTGAAATCAGTGAACGGACCAATAGCGAAGTGAATGAAGTGGATGAAGTGGATCAAGTGGATCAAGTATGGCTCGTGCCTGAGCGTTGTGGAATGAAACCTTTAAATTTTACTTGGCCGCTCCAGTTCTCAAGATTTTTGTGTACCAATTTGATCTCAATTTTCAAATGAAAGTTGATCTATTCACATTTTTGTCATTACTTTTGTGCTTCAATACTTGATTAAGTTTGGAAGAAGAAACAAGACAACAAAAACTGCGCTCTCATTGTAAAATTATACTAAATATAAGTACCGCCAGAAATGAAATGAGGGTAAGAGCTACAAAAAATTCAATTTTTGCGGTAGATTTCACTATTAGAAGGGATATTTTATCTAGATAGAACGTACCGCGATTGGCATCATCTCCATGCACGTCACCACTGCCATCTCCGCTACCGAGATTATCCTTATTTCCGTCTGCTCCTCCTGCTCCGCTGCCACCTCCGCTTCCACCTGTGCCAAACACTGTGTATCATTGCTGCAATTCTAATTACTTTCGTTTGTTTTACCTCCACCTTTCTTCTTTTATACTGCAGTTTAGTTCGAAGGAAAGAAATATGTGAGATAGTTTTTTCGTACTAACGTTTTTTAGCGTTATTTAAACCTCACAGTAATTCTAGTAAATTTAGTGAGTGGGAGTATTTTTTGGGGAAAATGGGAAGCGGTATTAAGTGATTATTACTTATCTAACCAGTTTACGAAGGAGGAAGTATATGTAAATATCTTGAAAAACACATTTCAAAATTTCAAGTTTATTTTTCCCGCTGTAACCTAAGTACAGAAATTGCGGAATGGATTGCCAACGGTTTTGCTCATAAATGACATTTGTGTATCACAAATGTATTTACAGATAGTCGCATCATGTTGAGTCGTGCTTCGAAAGGTTGAGCTCATAGTGTTCATCTCAAAGGCAATAAGGTCGGGACCAGTATAAGTCGAATAGACTTTCTGCTTGTTATAATGTGCTTGCGGTGCCGGGAACTTACAGACATAACTATTTATTTGTTCATGCGCAAAAATTAAGCATTTTCTCGGCACCGCAAGCCTATATTGAGCGGAAAATGCACTCGACTCCTCCTTCGCAGATAGGTATGGGTTGTATGGTTAGTTATAACATTACCACGGAAATTTCAAAAGCTACAAACATGGCACATTTTTCTTAAAATTAGTAGAAGAACGCTTCCCTGATTCACGAATCAAATTGTTCCTTTGAAGGCACCAGTAGCTCAAATTTAGAGCGGTGAGAGTTCGATGGGGACAATAACGAGCCCTCAATCAGGTGGTCGTCCAAGCCGGCTGCAAGAGAATTTGAAGAGAGAAATTTGCTTTAGAAGGAGGCGACAGTGGTGGGTCCCGAGAACTTTGGTGTTGATAGAAATGTAAAAAATCCGGCAACTGAATAGAGGGCGAATTTTTCATGACTTTAATTACAGGGTGTCAATTTTGAACTTTTTATCTTTAGATCACGCACGTTGATGGCGGAGCCACCATCGCTGCTATCACATTTGGAATCGATCTTTCCGCTTCGGAATTCACCTTTGGAGCATGACTGGTCGAGCTAAAAAGGCCAGAAAGCCCTCAAAATCGCGTTCTCAGTCATGGTTGACGGTATCTGAGCAGCATTAAAAATTGCTAAAGTTTTCTGTTGTCTCAAAACTCTATTTTATACATGAAAATGATGAAGTTAGAACTTCTTCGCATAAGCAGGATAATCCACTTTTGATTGCACAGGAAAGATTTTGTTGCTGCGTTTGCCTGTATTTTATCACATCAAAGTTCTAGCACATCTTCAAAGAAGATAAGGTGGAGAATAAAAACAATAAACAACAACTTACCGGAGTCACCTCCACCAGTGCCGTCTCCACTTCCACCGCTGCCACTTCCAGACCCTCCTCCGTCACTTCCATCCCCTTTTCCGCCGCTACCTCCTTCTCCGCTACCATCTCCTTTATCGCTGCCATCTCCTTTTCCGCTGCCATCTCCTTTTCCGCCACCACTTCCGTCACCGTCACCACCACTTCCACCATTACCTCCATCTGCTCCATTTCCTTTTCCACCTTCACCGGCTCCGTCACTGCCGCTACCACTTCCGCTTCCGCCATCTTTACTATCTTTTCCACCTTTATCTTTGCCTCCTCCACCTCCACCAGCATCGTCGCTATCACTGCCATCGCCGCCTGATTTACCTCCTTTGTCGCCGCTTCCTCCTCCACCACCACTTCCGCCGTCTCCATTTTCTCCGTCAGTGCCGCTACCACTTCCGCTTCCGCCATCTTTACTGCCTTTTCCGCCTTTGCCTTTGCCTCCTCCACCTCCATTAGCATCGTCGCTATCACTGCCATCGCCGCCTGGTTTTTTACCTCCTTTGCCGCCGCTTCCTCCTCCACCTCCACTTCCATCGTCACCGCTTCCGCTGCCGTCTCCATCACCTCCGCCGCCTCCAGAAGAGCTTCCTCCATCTTTGCCTTTACCCCCTTTTCCTCCGCTGCCATCATCACCGCCGCCTCCCCCACCGTCGCTTTCATTGGGCTGGTTATCACGAGTATCCAGTTCGTTGTACTTGGCAGGGCGCGGCGCTGAAATCATGTCAATCAGATTGTTTTTATTTGATCACGATTTATCATTACTATATGATAGCCCATGCTTCATAGCAATTCGTTCTCACAAAAATGAAGAGCTTGGGCCTGTGAAAGGGTTTTGCATGTGCGAAATGCGCAATATAATTCTAAGAAGTTAAGGCTGAGGAGAGGAAAGTTGTTCTATCTCATTGTTTACTCTATCCTCTCAAAATCTCATATTTTTGCGTTCGTAATGACTGCATCTATCAGAATTTCGCTTCATATGACACCACACACGACGCACAATTATTATAATGAGAATAGCAATAGCAATACCTCCAAAATCTTTTTTCAATTTATCAAAGCACTGCATGATTCTTTTGAATTCCGTCTTGTTCCGTTTTTCATCGCCAGAATCTTTATATTGTTGCTAAAATTCAAGCACATAAAAATCATATGTCGCCAGCTTATTTGTAGAGGGCAGCGCTGATTACGAGTGAGCTTGGAATTCTGGTACTTTCTTTGCTTTACTTTGTTTTACATATGCGTCTAGTTCTTGAGGCAAGATAGTTGGTGGGGCGTGTCCGTACTTAGGCTGTTCCAAAACATCTCACTGTAAAAATTTAACCCAAAGAATTCTTTTGCAAGAATTCTCCCTTAGTTCCCATGACAAACTTCAAATATTATCGTTGCACTAATAACAAGGCAAAAAAAATAAGGCAAAAAATTACAATCTTAGACAGATCGCTAAATTTTTTACTTACGAAAATTAGGTTGGCAAGAATTTCATAACTGATTTTCCCTATGCTTTTTATCTGCTTTTAAATCCGTTTCAAAGAATAAGATATGCTCTTCGTAGTATAATAGTATTTTAGGGGCTTTCTATTGAGCATACATCGCTTAGATAGAAGATGTAGAAGAAAATATTCAAATTTTGATCTTTCTATGTTTGACTGTGAAAAATCTGAAACTTCTGAGAAAATCAGGAGGAGTAGGTAATATAGGTTTTGCTAACTGCTTTTCTACTGAGCAAGATCTGTGCTGAATCAACATTTCTATGAATAGTTATGATTTTCGAAAAAAAAAAGCTCAAAAAATCAATTTTGCTGATTGTACTGTTCGTAAAACATAACTTTTATAGAGAAATTCAATCAGCACAAACTTTAGAAGAAGCAGGTAAGAAAACCTATACCACCACCTGCTTCGGGTTTTCTTGCATGTTTTAGAATTTCTACGGTCAAACACAAAAAATCGAAATTTGAATAATTTTTTTCCACCGCTTCTAGCTATGCGATGTATGCTCGTTAGGAAGAGGACAAAGTGCAGTTATGAAGAGCATTATTTGTTTTTTGAAAGCGAGCACAACACGAGCAAAGCTCCTGACAAAAATTGGAGAATAACTGAGTTTAGAAAATGGTTGTGGGAAATGATAAGCTTCTCTCATTAGTGAAGTTTAGAGAAAAAGTGGGCAAAATGATATGTATTCTGAGAATTTTAGACTATATGTACTTCTCTTGTAATTAAGATGCAATAATATAGACCCTTGCACCTGTCTGCTAAAAATTCAACCAAGCAGCTTGACACAGTAGCAGAATTTTCGAAAGCCCTCTTCTCAACTAAATCGAACTTTAACGATAAATGCGTAGCAGAAAGATACATTATCGAAGGTTATACCACTCTACTTGTAAGGCCTTTTAAACTCCAAACGTTTTTGACCGGAAATTTCCAGCTTGTTATGATGGTACGGCTGACTTTGAATTTACAAAACAAAAGCAAGCTGATAAAAAGTAGCAGCATCAAAATGAAACTGCGATAATTTGAACGCACAATGCGGTGTTGCACGTTTTCTACGAATTCGCACAAAGGACCTGCATAGCAGAATCCAAGAACCTCTTGATGCCATACCTGCAAGAAGTCAAAGTCTATGTTGCAGAAATCCTTCTGACAGAAACATGCTACAGCGCCATTATCGACATTGCGAATACAGCCAGGTTTCACCAGACTCTAAATGAACCAAATGTTGGATGTCTTTGGAAGTATGACACCTTCAAACAGTAGATGCAAGTAAAATGAAAAAAGTTATAAAAAAGAAGCTCTTGCAAGGTTCTTAGAATTGAAAGATTTCGAAATAAAGATGTAAATGATAAATAAACACAGAGATAAATTTTAAAATAGAGAGGAGATAGTCAACAAGTATTGCAGAAAAGGCAGTGGTTGCAGATTTTCTTTTCGAGCTGAGCAAAACACAAATTTGGAAGCAGCGAGATGCTTGCCAGGCTCTCCAAATTGTGGCAAGGTTCCGAACCGAGCAACTGCAATAGTGGCCCCGATTCTTCTTCGCTTTCAAATATGAGCTAGCACTGGTGACCACTTTTACTTCTAACTTAATAAATTTTTTTCCAAGTTGCAAAAATCAAAACATGGAGAACAGATGCGAAACAGGTTAAAGAAAAGCATATTTTCAGCCACAATATTTTGAATAAATTTATAGTTTCAGTTTTCACACCAGTTTCCAATACAACAGTTTATCAACTGTCGTATTTGAAACTAGAGTCAGCTGAATCTTGGTGTGTTATATGGAAAATTCTATTACCAACTATAAAAAAATTGAGTTGAATCAGCAGTTCATCGCCGAGCATCAAGACTCTCAAACCGTGAAATTGCTCCTATGCAGAAGTCACAAATGGTTTCTTCAAAGTTTGAGGAACAAAACTTCTTTGCCGAGCTTTAGCTGGTTTAAAACACGACATCTATTAAACACATTTTTAAAAGATATCTATGCGGTCGTGTTCGTAACAAAATAATCCTAGAGGGCTTAAATTAGATTTGTTGGTTGTATATAAAACCGGAAGTTTCTTCCAGCATTATGCGGAATATCATCACCAAAGTGAAGTGGAATGTCCAAATGAAGTTTAAGATTTGGAATCTACATAAATTGCGAAGCCAGAACACAGCAAAATTCAGATCGTAGTTTGCGGTAAAGATGCACTCCGCTGGAGTTCGCCCAACTTCGCACTGCATCGCCATATCTTGCTTTAGAGGGGACGAATTATGACAAAAGCACCATTCAGCTCAATTTGACGAAATGCATTTTTGGTAAATAAAAGTGCTTGTTTAGGACACAATGATCGGTCAAATTTAAGCCCTTCCACATTTATGCTCACGGTAGGCTACTCATGATAAGTGAAGTGTTCAATCATTACACAGAGATCAACCTACCGTAAGCGACAATTTGAAAATATCTTTGCAGTTTAAGCTACTATTTTGTCCCAACAAACGCTGATCAAATCTTTTCACATCCTTGATGGATCTTATTGTGTTAGATTTGGTAGTTTGAGCTCTAGCCACGAAATAGCTTTGATATTTAATTGAGCAGCTGAAGCACACGCAAGCACCATATTCAATACAGTGGGAGTCATTGGGCGAAGCGAACATAATACCCGCAATGCAAGCGCCATACAAGCGCTCACGGTGGAACTTCGACGAAATTTGCGATCTTTACATTATTCATGAGGACGTATTTTCATAGGCTCGTGACTGGGCGATTTTTATAGACTGGAGCCTGATCCATGCACCATTCGATAGCACAGTTCCTAGTAACTTTGACGTAGAAAAGCAAGCAGGCAACTTTTCTGAAAAATACTCGAAAAGTGCGGGCAAAGTTACGCACTTTCGTGATGCAGTTACAGTCAAATCAAAGTATCTCTCCAAAAGGACTCTGTAATCCTCAAAGACTACAATTTTCGTAAAGAGCGTGTTCAAAAACTCTATAAGCGAAACTCTATGGCTCCTTACAATTCAAGAGCATCAACTTTTGACCAAAATCCATCAGCGAGCTTTCAAAGCGTAAAACGAGGAAAATGAAATAACCCGAACATGCCGGAAAACTTGCTCATAGAGGTTATCCAACCTGCTTATAACGAAACTCACATCTGCTTAGCAAGATAGCTTCGTATCCTGCGGCTATGGCAAGTAAAATTTGGGACGACAAGATTTCTCCACAATTCACCAGCCGTTCTATCTCCTTTGAATAGAAATCTGCGGCTACTGTTTAACACACCATAATCTACAGAAAAAGAACTATCGAAAGATCCTTGCTGGGATTTACTCGGGACAATGCTCGCTGCTTTACACCTTTGCGAAAAGACATCCGCAGAAAGATTTAAGAATACTGAAGTCGAAATTTCAAAGACATGCTGTATATAAAAAGGTTCGCTTTGATGAGCTGAGCAAGGCGCTGTTTTCAGATTCAAGATATACTTATTCCGAAAGAATTAATGGCGAGTAGAATTTAGAAACGCGTGATTTTTCCGATATTCACCAACGCTTCTATCTCCTTTGGAAAGAAGTCTGAGCCTATTTTTTGGCGCACAATAATCTACAAGAACAGAATCATCGAATAGTAATTAGTAAAGTTTTCTATGTTGGATAGGCGTTGCTTCACATATTCGCGAAAGGACCTCCGCAGAAGATTTTGAAAAATCTGGAAACGGAATATCGAGGACATCATACCCCCACTTCCAACATATCAAAAGATTCTTCGCGCCGAGCTGAATCGATTGGTGGCCTCGGATTCAGAATTCGTGTACTCTGAAGCGAGATATGGCCACGCGACGGTGATGTCCATACATGCTACATACATGTAGGCCGCATGTAGCATCACTCATGCGACATGCAGCTACATGTATGTACATTCGCGTCTATTTTTCAAAAAATGTGAGCAATATGGTATATACAACCATTGTAGGTCATTTATGGACTTTGACCTCTAGTCAAAAATGAACCACCCTCTTTATCAGATACCTAATACTTGTATTGTAAATCATTTTTACTGCGAAAAGAAATGAACAAGCTCCACACAGCTGAGGACTAAGCGGCTTACTAAAAGCCATGATTGTTTGCTGAATTAGCGGCTTTCGGAATGCACAAAAAATTTGAGTGTTTTGGAAGTTCTCGGAAATTGCAGCCAATTTGCACGAACACCTACATGCTGAAAGTTTTTACCTAATCCTAAAGGAATGAACGAATTACTTAGCAATTTCTTGAATTGGAAACTGAATTGAGCAGACTTGTGGATAAAGAAAAATGAAGAAGGAACACAGCGTGCATCCAGTTACATCTTAAAACTGAACTCACAGAAACTTCGCTTTTAGGTAGGCCGTCAACTCGAATATATGATTTTTTTCTGCACATTTTTGGAATGTGTACGATACAGTAGCCTTCGCCATCTTTGAATGTCTAAAAAATTAGCGTGAAAGACTTGTACCAAAAAAGTATATTGATGAAACTTCTCACATTGTACGTTCTATAGAAATTAACTGCACACTTGAAACACGTTGAAGTTGGAAGTAGAATTGACAGCAGCAATAGTTCTTAATTAAGAGAGATAAAGCTTGTTAGGGGACGAGTGGCGTAGTGGTATGAGGCGGCGCTATGACTAGATTGGACTCGTCCGATCCCGCCCCTAGGCCAACCAAGCCTTTTACCCTCCGAGGCCGACTGGTACCAGTGTAACCTGGAAGGATAACAATGACTTGGTAATCGACTGGGCCCCGCAAGTCATTGAAAAGGTTCGCACGCATACAATTGCCTCTTCGACTATGAAGTAGTGTGCGTTTGGTGCATGCCCGCAGAGGGTATTGAAGGGGCCGAATCCTTTGAAGAAACAGTTCTTTCCACATTTAGCACTCTTTTTCTAAACAGCATCCGGTTCTCCAAATTACTGTCATCACGATGTCACTCCTCTCACTTTGGGGTTTTTTTTACCGTTTTTCGTAGCTTACCTAAAAATCAGACAATACAATCTCAAATTTCCAAATGATTCTGTCAGATACTGGATCAATCTCACGATTCATAAAAAAAGTATGGAAAAAATCCAGCTGTTCCGTCTCTAAGCTGGATTTAGTCTAGGAAGAAACTAGTCGCTGGATAGACGAGTTCAAACTGAAAAGGAAAGGACTCTCAGTCGAAGTGGGTTTCCGCATCTCACGCATATCATTCTGCTAGTCTTGGGGCACTTATTCCAATCCGTTTTCCTTAGCTGCTCAATGATCTTCTGGGAAAAATATGAGCGACGGTACTCCACGATGACCATTGTACATTATAAGTCTGAGTCGCCAAGGAATGTACAGGTGTGGATGGATGGATGGGCGGGTGGATAGCTGCGGAGACTATGATGCAGGTGGTGAAGAGTTCACGTCCCTACGAAGCCCACTTGTATTTTTGCAAATTGTACTTTGTGAATTCGCAGACGACTTGCGAGCAAGCAGAACGTCGTCGAATATCGCCTGCGAATTACCAAAATACAATTTGCAAAAATGCACAGTTTGGCTCCACATGGACGCGAACTCTTCACCACCTGCTCCATAGTCTCAGCAGCTATCCACTCGCCCATCCGTCCACACCTGTACATTCCTTGGCGCCCCAAACTTATAATGTGCAGTGGTCATCGTGAGGAACCGTCCTCACAACTTTTCTCAGAAGATCATAGAGCAGCTAAGGAGCACTGATCTGGTAGTAGTGCCCTAAGACCAGCAGAATGATATGCATCACGTGTGGAAACCCCACTTCGAGAGTGTCTTTCCCTTTGTGCGAAAAACACGGTGAGTCGTCTAACGCAAGCTGAATTCGCTTTTTCGTACCACAGTCTCATTTTCTTATTAGGCATAAGGGTAACAGAAGTATCGCACAGGATATTGAAGACGCCGAATCCTTTTTTTATTTAAAACTTGCTACTTACGTCAGCTTAATGACAGCAAAGCATCAGTTTTCTGCACAAATATTGAAGGACCTCTCATAATAAAACTATGAATTTTGCACCAATCGCAGCTTCTTTTCGCACTTTATGAGCAAGATTGGAAAAAATTATGATCCAATAAAGAGTGTCAACATGATATATTACAGATTGTACCAGCGTCGGTTCCGCGCTGATATGCCTTGCGAAAACGCACGGTCGCATGCGACGTGCTCTCGCACGTAACAGGGTTCGCACGCGTCAACCGCATCGTCGCAAGCTGCCGCAGGGCGACTCGCATAACTGATGCGAGTCGCGCCTGCGGCAACTTTAATTGAATATTGTTGTAGAGCCGTCCCTCATATCAAAACTTGCTCGCTTACTATAGGCTAGGTCGATATGGTCTCTGTGATTGCGGCGTACCCGCCGCAACTTGATATATTTGTGTGTGTTGTTCTCTAGTTAATCCTAGTGAACCCTCGGCATGTACGCCGATAGGCAGAGGGAAAACTCTTGTGTTTTTCTAATAAATCGTCAACGACTCAACGCGTTCTACTACAAATATATTTTATGAGGAAGAAGTTTGAGCTTGTTGGTAGGGTTGTCGTTCATGTGTGGCTTCAATGCAAGGGTTTCCTTAGATGTTCAACGCGCTAGAAAACATTCCATATTCTTATGAAATCCACAACTGAGGGCCCTATTGAACGCAAACGTGCCGCGAAAAAAACATGCCGCGCTGAGAAAAAAATGGACAAGTTAATACACAGTCAACGAAGTGCATCGTGGTTTAGAGTGTGCGATGTATCTGGACCAGCATTCTCAGGGATTGGATGACAGATGTACGAGTGCGGGCCAGCATGCCTCGTCCCATGTTACGCCCTTGCTCCGCCTTGCTCAAAGTTTGACCAATTGTAGCCGAGTTGTTGAATAATCAGAGTTGCACCGGTACGGTGTGTTCAAGGGGGCCTCCACGCTTTTACGCTAATGAATTTCAGCCAATAAAGTGCCATCAGATTGTAAAAGTTGACTATTCAAATCGTAAGATAACCCGAAATCTCACCGAAGTTCTGGGTTGGCATCTGCACTGTTTAGTGCCACTAGTTACCAACTATACTATTCATTTATCATTTCCATTTGTTCTGAGGCATAAAAGTCAAGTAAGGTTTGTATTAATTGTCTAATCAGGGCCCGGCTGCGTTGGTTTAAAGGATAGTTTGGAACGAAGCCCTCAAGACTTCGCAAATTCTCAGGAGTTGCCTTGAGGTAAAAACTAGCAAGATGTTGGGGAGATGTATATATATACAGTATTTGCTATGTATCGTTTATCCTTGTTTTTCGTTGTGTTTCGATCCCTAGTATATCTTGTTATGTTAGATTCAAACTCTTTCCCATGAGTTTCCTGCCTGTTCTCATAGAGCTCTTCTAGGGTTGGGCCAGACTGCGCCGCGTACGCGACGTACGCAGCGTACGCCGCGTATGCTCCTATGATGAAATATACCGAGCGTACGCTGCGTACGCCGCGTACGCCGCTTCCCCGCGAAGTCTGGCTCAACCCCTAGGTGCTTGGTACCGTGTGGTACTTTCTCAGAGGCGTATGTATATACAGTAACCCTTTGATGCATTAATTATTCCGATCAGCTAAAAACTTCCGAGTATTTCACCGTTTCGGTTCCACCCAATAAGACAAGGACTACACCACAAGAAAACAACAATAATTTGAAGCGACAACAGAAAAACAACGTGTCACCTATAAAGGAGATTCCGGCAGATTAGAGCGTCATATCTATCAATGTGTTTACAATTTTGGCTTAAAAAGAGGAGAGGCAAAGGTTTGTTTCGCTCTTTACACTACATGACCGATTTTTGAAGGCTCCAACCGTCCAAATCAAAAAGGTATAAAATTATGTAAATCTCCATTATATGGTTTTGAACTAACCAGTTGGTTTGGTATTGATCTAGAAAAGAAATACGGGAATGGGTACTAGGAACAAAAGTTTTTAAAAATTTCTCATAATGTAGTTCAAAGTAATATCATATAAACATAGCAAATTCGGTCCTTTATATGATGCGCAACAGTTTTACGATTATCCCTCTGCCTTGCATTCTATGCGAAGAAATCGAATAATTTGAAGGAAGGATTCGCGAATGCAGGTCATGCGTCTGAGAAAAGGTCGCCTTTTCACCACTGGACTTAATTTTGCTAATGATTTCGTAACAAGTGTTCCTCTCCATTTGTTTTTTCACCAACTCAAGTTTTGCCTGTTTTTAATTGTAATATACTCCAGATTGATCTCTTTTACCACTTTCAAATCCAGCCTCCCTCTAAGGAGAATTCTAGTGAAAGCGGCGTCTCTCTAGCTGATCGTGTCAACGTCGAGGGCAATAGCATAGCCAATGACAACAAAATCACGAATTATGAAAATTATGTGCACTCATTTGTATATACTCGTCGAGAAAACTCCATAAAAATCATCGTACTTCTGCATATTTTCTGGTAAAATGTGATCTTGAAGCACACAGTCTGCAAGACGCAGTCTAATATCATCACTTTAATTAGGAACCGTCCTAGCAGTCCATTCGCTTACAACGAACACATATGCAACATACTTACCAACAAAAAGCGTACTATGGAGCCGTATGTTGCGGTACGCGCTCATCATAAGCGATTGACTTCTTAAGAGGGTTTCTATTGAAAATGATGACACTAGACTAGCATTCACACAATACTTAGTAGGTAAGTGAAGTTCTGCTGCTAGTGGCAGACTCCAAAATATTCATCTTTTTACCAGAACTGTAAATGCAAAGATATATTACATACTGTTATCAAAAATTCCATCTTTTTTGTTTTCCGTCCATACTTTCCGGCATCAAAGCTTCTGCAAGCTATTGCGGGACGGAGACGCATATTTTTGGAAGCGAATGTCGTTATTAGCGGATGAAAGTATAAGGAGTAGGTTTTACAACGGTGGGAACGCGCGTCGCTTTCAGGCTCACTCAACTAATACTGTTCCATAGTCGTCCTCACCCCCTCTAGTCGCTTGGTGGACGAATTCGAATTCGAATTGGAGCAGGCAGGTCGTGGCAGAGCACGGCACCTTAGCTCTCCGTTCAAATTCACGCATTCACTTTGCGTTTTTCTTCGCCAGTGCTCAATAGCTCTTGATATTGTTTCAGAGTTTTTGACCTGTATTGAGTTTTTGTAATTGCTGAGCGTTGTCTCCTGCCGCTATGCTCGTATTTTGTTTAAGTGAGCTTTTGAAAACGATACAGATGGCAAATTTGGAGCATATAATTCAATGGAGCTACACTTTTGCATTTGATACTTACTAAGGCCCGTATGCACGTACATCCCCGCGGGGAGGGGATGTGAGTTTAACCATTGCAATGATCCCCGCTGGGGCTCCCCTCCCTTCCCCACGCAAATCCCCGTATGCAGAAAGGCAATACCGGAGAGGGGATCCTCTGGGAGTAGGGGAGGGGAGCCACCTTATGCAGAAGGGGAAATCGAGCGGGGAATTCTTCTTGCTTCCGCTTTTTTGCAGTAATTATTCCTTTTCTCTTATCTTTTGATAGCTACCCGCCTTCAATGTGTCTCGGCGATATTTATTCGTTGCGGAATGCCGTCTGCCGTGATTGCGT